AGCCTTTAGGGGGTACACAATTCTAGGTTTAGGTACTTGTACTCACTTCTTTCTCAATTCAATCATTCTCTAACAGTCGCCGTCCTTTGCGGCTCCGTCGCCGCCCCTCTAGGCCCCTCATGGCCCCTTCGAGGCCCCGTCGCCGCCCCTCTAGGCCCCGCGCGGCCCCTTCGCGGCCCCGTCGCCGCCCCTCTAGGCCCCGTCGCCGCCCCTCTAGGCCCCTCGCGGCCCCTTCACGGCCCCGTCGCCGCCCCTCTAGGCCCCGTCGCCGCCCCTCTAGGCCCCTTGCGGCCCCTTCACAGCCCCGTCGCCGCCCATAGCGGCCCCGTTGCCGCCCCTATCGGCCCCGTCGCCGCCCCTCGCGGCCACGTCGCCACCCTTCGCGGCCCCGTCGCCGCCCCTAGCGGCCCCATCACCGCTCTTCGCGGCCGCGTCGCCGCCTCTAGCGGCTCCCGTCGCCGCCCTTCGCGGCCCCGTCGCCGCCTCTACCGGCCCCGTCGCCGCCCTTCACGGCCCCTTCACCGCTGAGCCGCCCAGCAACCAAGCCACCCAGCAGCCAAGCAGCCGAGCCGCCGAGCCGCCCTGCAACCGAGCCGCCGAACCGCCGAGCCGCCCAACAGCCGAGCCGCCGAGCCGCCCAACAGCCGAGCCGCCGAGCCGCCCAGCAGCCGAGCCGTCGATCCGCCCAGCAGCCGAGCCACCGAGCCGCCCAGCAGCCGAGCCGCCGAGCCGCCCTACTGTCGAGCCGCTACTCTCACTTCCGAGCCGATGCCACCGCGGCTACAGCCCTATCTAGGGGTGCGGAGCCTCGGGGTGCTGAGTCTAGGGGTGCTGAGTCTGGGGGTGCTGAGCCTGGGGGTGCTGAGCCTGGGGGTGCTGAGCCTGGGGGTACGGAGCCTGGGGGTGCTGGGTCTGCTCGTGTGGCCTCTCGCGGTGCTTCGTCGAGGCGAGAGCTACTCTCTCCGCAGGAGCTGCGCGAGTGGTTTGCACGGCGCTGGAGCCGTGCTGCTGGAGCTGGAGGTGCTACTGTTGCTGCTTGTCCTGGAGGTTCTCGTACTGGTGGTACTGGAGCTGCTGGGACTGGGGGTGCTGCTAGGGCTGCTGGAGTTGGTCCTGCTGGACGTACTGCTAGAGCTCGGGCTGCCGAATCTGCTGGATGGCACACACCAGATGGCACTACGTCCTTCCACTGCTCCTCTGCGTGTCCCGTTGCCATCTCCTCCAGAGTCCTCTCTTCCTGTCCTTACTGACCCAGAGTCTGACTCTCGTCGTGCTACCAGTCCTACTGTCACGGGTCTCCTGGCTAATGTTGTCACTGACCCTTCCTTTGAGTCCACTACTACGTCTACTTTAGTTGTTGAGCTTGTCGACTTCGTTGCTAGCTGTCGTCTGGACTACGCTGCTAGTCTTGTTGCTGAGTCTGAGTCTGTCTGTCCTCCGTCCGTCGGGGGTGAGTGTGCTCTTAGCACAGACGTCCTTGAGGACACGCAGGATGATTTCCAGTGTTTTGCTGCTGCAAAAGCCTCATCTCGTGTCCACGCTGATTGCCCCTGAGGTAGACCCGGATGCACCAGACATCCCGACTCCTCGATCGTACGCTGAGGCGATCGAGGGTCCCTACTCCTCTCAGTGGCAGTCAGCCATGGACACAGAGATGGCTTCCTGGAAGTCCACAGGCACCTACGTCGACGAGGTTCCCCCACCTGGGGCGAACATCGTCAGTGGCATGTGGATTTTCAGGGTGAAGCGGCCGTCGGGTTCTCCGCCTGTCTTCAAGGCGCGTTACGTGGCTCGAGGCTTCAGTCAGCGGCAGGGAGACCTTCTCTCCCACCCCAAAGATGACCACTCTTTGGGTGCTGCTGCACATAGGCGCTCAGCGCGACTACGAGCTTCACTCTCTTGACTTCAGCACAGCTTTCCTGCAGGGCAGCCTGCACGAGGAGATCTGGCTGCGCCGCCCACCAAGCTTCACTGGGTCGTTTCCTCCTGGTACCCAGTGGAGCCTCAGGCACCCAGTCTACGGTCTCCGCCAGGTGCCGCGTGAGTGGCACGACACAGTGAGGACTACACTTGCGGCTCTTGGGTTTGCTCCTTCTACAGCCGACCCGTCGCTGTTTCTGCACACCGACACCTCTTTGCCGCCGTTCTACATCCTCGTGTACGTCGACGACTTGGTCTTTGCCACTGCTGACACTGCTGGACTCGCCCACGTGAGGTCCGAGCTGCAGAAGAGATACACGTGCACAGACATGGGTAAACTACGCAGCTACCTTGGCTTACAGATCACCCAGGACAGAGCAGAGCGCACCATTACCCTGACTCAGTCACACATGGTGCAGCAGGTCCTTCACTGCCTTGACTTCATGTACTCCTCGCCTTAGGCCACTCCTCTGTCTACTCGCCACTCGCTCTCAGCTCTGCCTTCGGATGAGTCCGTAGAGCCGAGTGGCCCGTACCCAGAGCTTGTTGGCTGCCTCATGTACCTGATGACCTGCACACGACCTGACCTTGCATACCCTCTTAGCAGCTTGGCATGCTATGTTGCTCCTGGGAGACACCGACCAGAGCACATGGCTGCAACGAAGAGGGTGTTGCGCTACTTGTGCAGTACGTCGGGCATAGGGCTAGTGCTTGGAGGGTGACGTCGAGTCGTCCTCACAGGTCACGCAGACGCTTCTTGGGCTGACGACCAGGCTACGCAACGGCGTCACAGGGTTACACCTTCAGCCTTGGCTCCGGCTCTGTTTCGTGGCGGTCTACCCGCTCGTCTTCTGTTCTCGGCTCCAGCTGTGAGGCTGAGATCTACGCGGGGGCCATGGCTGCACAGGAGCTATGCTGGCTCACCTACCTGCTGACTGACCTAGGAGAGCCGCCTCGTTCTCCTCCAGTTCTGTACGTAGGCAACAAGGCCATGCTGGCCTTGTGTCGGGAACACAGACTGAAGCACAGAACGAAGCACATTGCTCTTCGCTACTTCCTTGCTCGTGAGCTGCAGCAAAGTGGTCAGCTGCGCCTTGCTTACGTGGCCTCTGAAGCCAACACTGCTGATATCTTCACCAAGGCACTTCTGCCTTTAGATCATCAGCGCTTCTGCGATGCTAGGTCTTGTGCCTACTTGGCCTCACTTGGTCACTTCTTGACCTTGTTTGTACTGTGATCTTTCTATACCTGCACTTGCTTGTTTGCCTTTATATATGATCTTGCATGTGAACTGGCCTTGTGGCGTTGAACTTGTGCTCGGATTGTGTGGTAGTTGTGATCCACCCTGAGCTTGTTTTGCTTTGTTTGACTGGTCTTGTGACCTCTTGTTCTCCCCCACTTTGACTATGGGGGTGTGTCAAACTTATATGCTATAATCTGTGTAGGCTGTAGTGGGGTAGACAATATGGTGTACAACATTTCTAGGTTTTCCTACTTGTACTCACCTCTTTCCTAGTTCATTCATTCCTCATTCTTCACAATATCTGCGCCTACAACTTGCGTTTACAAGGTCGCCTGACTGTCCTGTACCGTATAGCTCTGTCACATTTTGTTCTTCCGCTTTAATTCTCTACAACGAAACAACGAAAATAAGTTACTACCATTATACGGATATAATCATCTACGGAACCCTTATGCTTGTACATAACTTTCGTGGGTTCGACGATATTATGGATTGGGAGCGAATATTTTTACCGATAAAAAAAGCCTAACGTCGAAGATGTCCGGCTACAAGAGCGGGCGACCTACGACAATTGTTCCGGGCAAATACAAACAGTTCTACCGACAAAATATTCTACCACACACATCTGCGCCTACATAAACGACCTAACAAGTGCAGCTGCGGTTATCCTTACCGGGGTGACCCAAAATTAAAAAATCCACTCTATACGACCTACGTCACTACGTCGAGGACGCCAATGTTCTGCCAGTGGGCCAAGCAGGCTTAAAAGACTACGCTGGTGGACTAACAGGTGCTGGATGAAAGGATCTCAAAGAGCTTGCGGAGCATGAAATGCAAATGAAAAGAAGCAAATGAGCACGAAAACATCCATTCATACCCATCCACCACACACAGAAGCCCGTGTCCAGATTCTCTCGCCAAAAAAAAAAAAAACCACTGGGAGAAAGTTCCCTGCTCGACGCTTATTGGCTCTTGCAGCCTTGGGACTCTGGCAACAACTGTTGCCATGGCCACGTGTGCAGAACACCTACACTTGGTAAACAATGACTATAAAACACAATGAGCAAACGTAGGATGCTACACCTGTACTCATGTTATTCATAAAACACATAAGATCAATGGTATAAAGGAACACACATGCTGCAGCTTTAAGGCTGGAGCCATGAAAAAAACCGAGTTAAAGCATATAACGACGCAGAGAAGACCAGTTGGTCGCAACCGGTCATGCGACCGGCGGTCGTCACTTGTCGGCCAAAGAGTTACGATGGCGAAAAATATCATACCCATGAAATCACTGGCACAAAGGGTCACGGGCAGGTTGGTTGGAACACATTTTTCATGGTCAGGTGGGCGCGGAATTGTGAGCGGCTGGCCTTGTCGTATGCGGCGGAGCCTTGCGCCCAAGCCCTTCGGAATTCAGAGCACACGGATCCAAGGCCTCGGATCATGGGGCAAACGCACTCGGAACTCCGCCACAACGTTATCAGAGTCCCCACATGGAAGGCATGCCATTCGGGAGCCAAAACCCTAAAATTTTAGGGTTGAGATACTCAACGGGTTTGTGATGACTCGCTGTTGCGGTTACCGTCAAACACAGAAACCAGAATATGTAGCATCGGAAACAAGACAGGTAAGGAAGAAAAATCATTTATTATATCGAGGACCAGACCAAGCTTACGCTCTAGGATTATTTCTGCAATCGTGCTAGGCCTACCACTGAGAACAAACAGAATGAACGGGAATGAATGAAGCATATGGCGTGAAAAATGTGGAAAACTTTGCTAGGATCAAAATCGAGATGCTCGTCCCTCTACTTTTCCTTACCACTACCGTACATTCACTCGCTTGACATGCCAGTGCCAGTGCCGATGGAGCTCGCCCCTTCATATGAGCTGTGAAGCTTCAGCAGCAGCAGTAGCAGCACACACACCACCACCGAGGTACACACAACCACAGCCACCACCTGTAGCGCTGTCAAGCCCACATCACCAGCACCACTGCCCAACGAACCCCCAGGATTGCCGTTGCTGCTACAAGTGCCACCACCAGCACCACCACCAGCGCTACTGCCAGTAACACCAGAGCTGCAGCTTGCGCTGCTACTGCCGCCCAGTAACGGACGGCGGCGCTTGACTGACAGCTGCCACCCGACCACACGGCGGTGGGCTTCTTCGTCATCTTCCTCGGTCATGGGAGGAGGGGCTGGCGACGAGGCTACGGGCCAAAAGGAGTGGAAGCGACGGAAGCGACTACTGCTGTTGCTGTTGTTGGTGGTGTTGCAGGCATTGAAATGAGCAAGGCCCTGAGATGCGGGGATGGAGGGGAGGGGATGTACGGACAGGAGGCACGAGCTGAAGAGTGAGCAAAGGAGACCAATAAGCCAGAACGGAAAAAGTGATTTTGTACAAAAGTGGTACCGGTATCATGAATGACAGAGCGGTTAAGAACTGGCTCCAAGGAACCTAACAATCAATCATTTGAACTCACCATTTCCAGGTCAGCAACAGTGAGACATGACAAGCTCCCTAGCTTCAACTCCGGACCTGCTGCTAATACCGCTCCTCCTCCTGCCCCTCCTCCCCCTACTCTACCTTCCCCTGCTCCTGCCACTCCCCCGCTATCACTGTCACTCTCAGCGCACTTGCCGCTACTGCCCCCCACCCCAACAGCACTGCCGCAGTGGTGCCTCCCACAAGCCTGGCAGCATGCATGCTTCTCCCCTCGCCCCTGCTCCTGGCTCTGCTCTCTGCCCCGCTCCACCCCCTGCTGGAACTGCTGCAGCAGAAACGCCACCCATTGAACGGCCCCGCGTGGGGGAGGGCGGGGTAATGCGACGGGGGGAGGCAATAGAGGGTGGTGCGCGGTAGGGGAGAGCAGCTGCTGATGCTGAGGGTGTGGTTGGAGCGGCGCGTCACATGCTAGGGGGTTCAATATACGGTCTGACAGTGGGGTGACGTTTAATGCTGGTGGCTGCATCAGTGGAGGATGGGTCAAAGTTGGGTAATCAGCTGCTGCCGTTGCTCCTGCTGCTGATGCGGATCCTGCTGCTGCCACCGCCAAGGCAGCGGCGGGAAGGGATGAAAACGAGCCGCCTCCTTTCCGCCGACCCACACCCGTTCCTGCTGTAGCATCCCTAGCCACACACACTCTCACTGCAGCCACAGCCTGGTGGTCTGCCCTCAACTGTAACGAAACCCTTTCTCTCTCCGCGGCCGCACCCACATCGTCCCGCTCCCCCTCGCTCTCAGACAAGTAGTCAACACACCTTTTCCCCACACATGCTACGCCACCGTCCTCCTCCTCTTCCTCTTCTTGACCCTCCCCACCCACTCGACTGCCTTGCATCCATCTGCCTGCGACTGAGGCAGCAGATGGTGGGGTGTTAGTACCCGCATTCAACCACTGCAGTAAATGGGACGGCACAGCAACAACAGCAGCAGAAGCTGCAGACAACCCCCCTGTAGCAGTCACTAGAGGCCTTGCCCCACCCCGACTCTCACTTCCACCCGCTCTGGTTCCGCTGACAGAATGCGCGCCCACTGCTGCTTCCCGCCATGCGCAATTCTGCTCCTGCTCTTGCCCCTGTGCCTGCTGCTGTTGCCTCCACTGCCCTTTCCCCTCTCCCGCTTCGGAACGCGTCCTCCATTCCCTGCTTATAGTGTCTCCATCAGAGGCCCACACTGACCCACCGTGCCCCGCTTTACTCGCTCCCTGGTCTGGCGCTGCTGTCGGGAGCAGCCCCCCCATGAACTCACGCCCCTTACAATCACCCGCCCCTCGCCAGCTGTTAGGTGTGGGCACATCGGGTTTCCTTATAGCGAGCGGGCGCAGTTGCAGCTCTTGCGGGGAAATGACGGAGGGCGGAGGGGCAGACGGGGCGGAGAGGAAACTGACTAAGTGATCTGACGTAATCTGGTCCCTGCTGTTGCTGTTGCTGCTGCTGCTGGTACCACTTCTACCGACGTAGCTGCTGCTGTTGTTGTTGCTGCTGTTGTAGCGAGTGCTGGTGCTAACGGCCCGTGACACAGAGCCAAAAAAATTGGACGACAAGGATGATAGCAGCATTGACGGCTGCGATGAATCCGCAGCAGGAACACCGTTTCCTGGAAAATACGCGGGACCTGTGGGCCGAGTGTCTTTTCTTGGCGAGGACGATCGGCGGACGGCGGTATCCACCTGCGCGAGCTGCGCGCGGATGGCGGATATGAACTGCTGCCTCCGCGCCTGCACCTCCTGGGGTCGGCCCCCGCTCGCACGCTCCGGGCGGCGGAGAGACGCGGTGGAGGAAGCGGCATCGCGGAGTACAGCGCGCTCAAACTCCTGAAGCTGCTCCGGGCGGGTTAAGGGGGACGGGGAGGAGCGGCGAGAGTGTTAACGGAAGGAACGGAGGCGATAACGATCCACTTGAATAACACAAAAGAGGTGAGACGGGAAGATGGCGGTTGGTCGAATTACTATCGATATTTATTAATTGGGGAGAAACTGTTTAGTTGCAAATGAGCACATGCTCGCATGTGTCCAGTCCGTACCTGCCATTTCAAGGTATCGCACGCAGACAAGAGCACGAGCCTCGCACCCTCCTCGTCCACCCTCGCTAATCCTCCGCCTCCTGACCCGGCGGTATCAACGGTCGTCAGCTGTTGCCATTGATGGAAACTGGATCGCAGCCTGCTTGCGTGTCGCGAAAGACAGAATACAAAACCGACGAAGTATTTTTTGAGAAAAAAACATAATCAGTACAAGCAGACCTGGTATTCAACATCAGCAATGTAGCGGTGGAGACGGATTTCCGATGTGCTAGGTGTATGCGGGAGAAGGCAAGCAACGGTGCGACAAAAGCTTGATCAGCGTACCTGTCTGCTGAGTCCTGCACCTCCTCCGCCGCCGGAAAGAGAGGGTCGGCTTGCCAGCTGCGTAGCATGGCCATAACGACGAGCCTCTGCGCACGCTATACAAATGACACAAACCTAAAATGGCTAAATGATGCTACCTAGACGAAAATGGCCATGGAAAAAAAAAGAGTTGCTTCCGTTTTAAGACTAAACCTCCAACAATTCCGATGAGTCTCCTAAGGCCGCTAAGGTGGAATAGACTAGGGCAAGCGGACTCAAGGATCCGAGCGTCCAGGAACCTAAGAATGGTCTAGAACACGGCTAGGAACAGGCAACCTCCCAGAACCAGTCAAACTCAAAAACCTGCGTGCACGTTGGGAATCATGAGAAATCCTCCACGCTCAAAGGCTCGAGGCTGAACGACCATGGCCGTTTCAGGTCGATAGAGTTCCCAAGGCGATCTACAGTGCTACCAGTTCACCCATACACGAGTTGTAGAACACCACGTTCAGAATGGTCTTGTCATCTACTGTACAAGAACAAAGCGAAGAATGCGGTTGGGTAAGGTGATGCACTTTTCAAACAGCTTTGTCAACAACTTTATTTGGTTGCGAAGGGTATACAGAGATTACGGAAGTTTTACGTCCTTGAGCCAGTTGTCGAGCTGGTCTTTCCCCCCCAGGTTGCTAGGAACGTTTAAAGGCACCAGATCGCAAGAGACAATTTCTGTAGCGACGACTCGCGCAAGGTGAGAAGGTTGAGAAAGAGGGTGTACAGGGCACGGACAGGCTTCAGTTATGGCCACAGAGTAGTGCTTGAAATTGTAAACCGTGCGAGGGTAATTTCACCAGACGAATAGGGTGACGAACTCTATATGCATTGGCGAAAGTATTCGCAAAGACTGGATGATCTCGATACATCCAACCAGCGACAGTTGCCCTGACCGCACTTGTGTGAGCAGAGAAACCACGTGTGTGACAGATGTGTTTCTGCAGTTGAGCTGCCTTCGCCAATCGCACACCTACCCAACAGCCCTTTTTCAAATAAGATAATGAGCCGGAAAGTGTATTGTATTTCAAACAATCCAATTGTGCAATTGACGTGGTTTGCTTTCTGCTTCGCGTGAAGCTTCTTGCCACCAGAGATTTGCCGAGTTATGCTTGTGATCGGCTAGTTGTATTTATGGCCATGTGTTCTTTTGGCACGTGCTTCTACGGCCTCCTAGCTGGTGTTGTTTTTCATCCGTTTATATGCAACCTACGTCGTAGTTGCCTTTGATTGTCTATTGCGCAGTCCGTGTTTCACACATCAACATCGTAGGTCCACTGCGACCTTGCTGACTGCCAAGCCCCCAGCATAGAATCGTGTTCCCCTTTCTGTAACATACAAAACGCTAGACTGCAGCCTCTCGCTTCAATATTCGTCGCGCCACGTACTCTCGCTACTCATTGACGATTAAGAAGCAGTTAATAGGTTTGATTCCATCACGGTATCCATTCCCCTGCGCGGTTCAGGCATCCTGGCTACATGCACCCTTTATTGACCGTTGAGAAGCACCCGAAGTGCGCAGAGGTAAGAGACGGCCGGAAACTTCAGCTATGGGGTGTTTTATTTGCCAGGGTATTGCCAGGGATTTCAGCTATGAGCCTAGTGATAGATTCATAAACCTACATTAGGTTGTCCTTCTGGTCGTGAACCTACATCGCGTTCGCTTGTTCCACCGTTCCCGCGTGCAGCTGATCGAGAAGCTGAAGCGATGCCACGAGGAGCACCCCATTGCCAAGTTCTGGAACGTGTGCAGCGGCATTAAGGTGGAGCTCGACGCGTGCTTCCGACAAGAGGTAATTATCACGGTAGCACCATTTTGCAGAATGGAACAAAGTCATGCAGGCTGCATTACCAAGGTTGCGTGCATGTCTTATGTGTGCCTTGGTACTCAGCACAGCAACCATCCATGTTCTCCATTCAAAAGGGTGCTTGAGGTGTAGCGGAGACCCCTAAGCACGCTAGGTGGTCACAGGATTCTTCTAAAATCTCTTCCGAGACAGGTTAGTGCCTCTTTGGTGTGCACCACGGGCTCATTCGTCATTCTTATCTCCCTCTCTTGTTTGTCTGAGAAACGTCCCTGTATCTCGCTATCCCTCACGTATTGAGTGCAGAAAGTGGAGCATAGAACAGTGAATCTCAAGGCCAGCAGGGAGGTCAACCTTGAGTCGAACCAAACATCAACTTCCCTGTCGCCCGCTGTCCCTTGTGTGCTGCGTGCAGAAAGTGGAGCGCAGAACAGTGAATCTCAAAGCCAGTAGGGAGTTCAGGGAAAGGCTGAGGGAGCAGAAGGCAGCAGATGAGGCAGCAGGAGTCCCCAGATGGACTGAAACGCTGAGGCAGCAGGAGGGATCTCAGTCATGAGCAGCAACAGCGTCTCTGTAGGGTGGACCTGCTGTTGAAATCTCTCTCACCGCACCACCCACATCCTGCATTTGAGATTCTGTACATTCACCTTTCATAGCACATTATTGTAGAACCAAACAAATGTTTATGGGGGGTAAGACAGCTTGGATTCGTCTACCATGATGATCATCCTGGCTATGCCACGTCTAAATTCTGAAGCACCCCACGGATACTAAATCTACAAGAGTAATGTACTCCCAAAGCTTCACTACTCCATGCGGCTGCTATGAAGCATTGTGTAGAGCACTGCAGCACCCACATACACCTCTATTTGCGTCTCAGCCCCACACAGCTCCACAGTTTCACAACTCCACGGCCACTATAGAGCGCACTGTACACAGCAGCGGGTCATCGGAATCACGGAGGGGAGTGCTGGTGGTGCTGGTGCCAGGCCTCCCAGGCTCAGGTGGTGACTCATGGGAGTGGGAAGGGGCGCAGCTAAAGCCCATGCCGATGGGTGGAGCTGGAGGGAGCGAATGGTGTGGCGGCAGATGCATGAGTGCATCTAGCAGCTGCTGCCTGTGGTCTGCTGGGGAACATTGGGGGTGAAAGGTGGGGGAGGAAGGAGGGGTGAGCAGGTGGGGAGCCCATGCCAAAGCCCATGTTGGCGGGTGGAGGAGCTGGAAGCGAATGGTGTGGCGGCAGATGCATGAGTGCATCTAGCAGCTGCTGCCTGTGGTCTGCTGGGAGGTATTGAAAAGGGTGAGGAAGTGGGAGTGGGAGTGGGGTGAGGGAGTGGGGAGTTGGTGGGATACAGGAGGGGAAAGAGCGGCAGGTGCATGAGCGCATCGAGCAGCTGCTGCGTGTGGTCTGCATTGGGGTATTAAAAGGGGGAGGGAGAGGGTGGGGAGTCCGGGGTTGGTAGCGTAGAGAGGAACAAAGGGTGCATGAAAGGATGGGGTGTAAGGAGATTTTTATTGATTGGTACAGGTGGGTGGGGGCGGATGCAAGGGCACAAGGGTGAGTCACCAAGCCAAGCTAGCAGGAAGCATTGCAGGCAAACACACAGGCGAAAACACATGCGCTGTCAGTCAAATCCTCACTCAAAACCACGCACCAATACATGAAGAAACAGAGCGTGCTAGTTTGTTTGTTTGTGTTGTTTCTAATAAACATACTGTGGTGGAATGATCATACCTGGGAGGAGGCAGAGCAGGCGAGGCATGTAGGAGGAGAGCAGCAGCAGGAGGGGGGGTTGGGGGTGGAGGGAGAGAGAGTGGAGCAGGCGCAGGAGAGAGGAGGCGACGATGGCGAGGTTACAGGCACTGCATGGGAGGGGAAGGGTGGGAGGAGGTGAGAAGGGGGGGACAGGAGAGGTGAGAAGAGAGAAGAGAAAGGAAGAAAGGGAGGTTAGGTGCATAGAGCCAGGATGTGAAGCTGTTCGGGCTGTGGGTAATCTCAACGGCTGCAGTCGCACAGTATTCTAACTGAAGGTGCTCCCGTTACTGGAATAGCGTCAGGTATTCCCGAAACAGCACCAGTAGACAACAGAGGCATGGTCGTGATAGAGAGCACCCTCTTTCTCACCCGTATGCATGCAGCAGCATTCGCTCCAGCAGCCTCAGCACCGCATCCACCACCATCCCCCCATCCACCCTCCCTTCCACCCCACCACCAGCCGCAGCCGCTGCTGCTAACCCAGTAACCCCAGCAGGTGCAACACTCCCACCACCAACAGCAGCGAGGGAGGGGGGAAGAGAGGGAGAGTGGGGGAACGGGCAGCAGAGCAGAGCCATGCAGAGGGGTTCCTGGAAAAGGGCTAGTCTGGCTGGTTGCTGTGCTGCCAATGACTCTATCTCCTGCAGCACTCCCATCACTGCTTCCACGTGGGCCCCTTCTCCTGCTGCTTTCCCTGCTTCAATGCCAGCTGCAGCACCAGCAGCAGCACCACGAGCAGCAGTAGAGGCATCATCTCCTGACAGCCACCACTCGTCCTCAACTGAAGCGCCACTCGCTGAGCCTTGCAGCACAAGAACCAGCCTTGCGCTCAACCCCACCCATTTCCCCGACGACGGGTCCCCTTCCCTTCCTTCACCCTCTCCTTCAACAGTGGGCTTGTCTCCACCATCCAGTGTTGCGAGCAGCAGCTTCAGCTTCTTCACCTTGCCGAAGTGCTTTGCTGCGTGCGCCAACGCCCCGCCCCTGTGCGCGCGCACCAGCTCTAGACTCTTGAGATGGGAGCCTGCTTGCTGAGAGATCTTTGTTGTGCCTGTCTGAGTGTCTGCACGCATGGGACCATGTGGAGCCATGTGCGCTTGTGCATGCATGGCACCATTCATGCCCACGTGCATGTCAGCGGCAGCAGAGTGGGAGCAACAGCGGAGGAGGAAGTCAGAGAGCTGCGCCACCAGTCGCACCACAGTGGGCTTGTCCCTTAGTCTCAGCGTCAGTAGAAGGTCCAAGAATGGCTGCACACACACTGCCAACACGTTGCGGTTGTTACTGCTGCCGCCGCTGCTGCTGTTGACAGTGGTGCTGGTGGTGGTGGTGGTGGAGGGGGGACGGTTGTAGAGGGCGAGTAGGGAGGGCTGGAGGGCGGAGAGCAGCACGAGGGCAGAGGAGAAGGCGTTGACTGCTGCTGACTTGAGTGACTGGGACGAGCAGGTCACCAGAGAGATGAGATCCTGGGGTGTGGTGTGGGGCACAGAAAGGGGGCATAAGAGAGGGAGCAGAGAAAGAGAGGGCGAGTAGGAGCTTTGGAGTTTGGAGGACTGAGAGGAGTACAAGGACTGGGAGAAGGCACTGAGTGCAGCTATGACTGGGATACACAGGTAATGTTAGGAACGAGGACTTGGAGTGTGGTGCACAGTATAGGGGAAAAAGAAGTGGGGATGGAGGGGAACCAAGGTCTCACCTGCAGCTGCGCTGCCAGCATGGGCAGCAAGGGAACAACAAGCATCGGATGAGCCACCGCCATGCCACGCAGATACAGCAATGTACTTGCTGTCTTCCTCTCCCTTTCCTTCTCCCTCTCCGCCTCCTCTTCCTCCTCCAACTTCCTCTTCTTTTCATTCTCCCTCTCCCCCTCCCCTCCCTTCTCTCCCCCCACTCCTTCCCCTCCCACCCCTGTCGAAAAATCAGCACCCATCTCGTTTTTCTGCCCGGAGGAAGGTCCGGGCAGGCAGGACTGAACGAGCTGCTGGAGAGTGCGGGCCAATGAGGAGAGAGTTTCAGATGCCCGGGCGTATCTTTCAGGGACAGAGCGAGAGGCCACACGACCCTTCCAACCGGCCCGCGGCTCAGGAAGGTGCCTGGAGAGTGCGTCTGGCGCTGTGCAGTAGAGGCCTGCGAGAAGCTTCCATGCAGCTTCTGCCATGAAATGATGGGTCTGATTGCCCTGCTGGTTGTTCCACTGCTGCTGCTGAGTGAGTCGACACCTGAGAAAATGTGCAGGAGGGAGGAGCGATGGCTTAAATAATAACTAAGAAAACAAAATGATACCATGGCCGGAGTTCAAACAAGTACCTGCCATCGATCTTTTGGGGGGTCCTAAAGGAAGCAAGGAAGCAAGCAAGCATGCAAGCAAGGAAGGAAGCAGCACTCACAGCTCATCCACAATCGCCCGGGATGTACGGGTGCTGCTGCCACCACCGTCAGCACCACCATCAGCACTTTCAGCATCCCAACCACTGGCATCCCCAGCAGCAACATCAGCATATTCAGCAGCTTGCAGGAAGCTGCCTGCTCTCGTCAACACCTGCACCAGCACCACCTCCCTTTCATCCGCTTGCCTCCTCTCCTCCTCCTGCTCCCTCTCCTCCTCCCCCTCCCCTTCCCCCTCTCTAAAGCCTGCACCTCTCCACACTCCCCACATTCCTCCTCCATCTCTCCTGCTTCCCTCTGCTTGCTGCTTTGGCGCCTCCTTTTGACAAACGGCATGCTCAGTCAGCCAATCAGAAGCTGCCAGCTCAGCCGCAGCGATTTGAGCGAGCCCCGCTGCTTCCTTTGATGTCAAAACGAAAACGGATGGCTGAGATCGCACCGTAGCGATCTCGCTGATTTGATCATCACCACTCCGACCTGCCTCTAAAGCACCTGCAATGAACCTCAGAGCTGCTTGCGCCAACTCCCGAACAGCCCACACACTCCACTCCTCATCCCCACCTCCTTCCGCCCTCACATCCTCTCCAACAGGTAACTTCGAACCGTGCCCTTGTCGTACTGAGGGTAAGTCGCAGACTGCCCCTTGCTGGCAGAGAAAGGAGGCGAGACTGAAAACGGCAGCATCAGGCACGCGTGGGTCAGAGAGGGCGGCATATGCCGCATGGAGCATGCGGGGGAGGAGCAGGAGGCGGGGAGAGGGAGAAAAGGAGCGAGCGTGATTGCGACCGCGAGACCGACCGAGATTGTGTTTGTGTCCGTGACTGTGGGTGAGAGAGAGGAAGGAGCGGAAGCTGGGGTGGGAAGCGGAGGGGTCGAGCAGCAGCAGTGCTTCCAGAGCAGCTACAGCCTTCGCCTCGTCCTGTGCAGTAGGGAGAGTGCCTCTTGACTTGCCTTGCTGCAAGTCCTCTTGCTCTGCTGTCTCCCCCTCCTGGTCCTCCTGCCCGCCTTCCTTCCCTTCCTGCCCTGCATGCTGCCCATGCCCCTCCTCCTCCCCTTCATGGCCAACTGCTTCCGCCTCCCTCGCATCCGCCTCCCTCGCATCCGCCTCCCTCGCATCCGCCCCACTAGCCTTGCCTGCTGCAGCGCCTTCACCCTCCTCCTGCACCCCAACAAGTCCCTCCAACACGCGCACAAGCCGCCCCACTAACTCCCCCATGCCACTCTCTTTCCCCCCTTCCCTCGCTTCCTCCCTTTCCCTGCTTGCTTCTCTTGCAGCATTCCGTCCTATCCTGCTTGTCCCCTCTTCCGGCGACTTTTGAGCCGACTCAAAAGTCACCTCATTCAGTCCTATCCCGCTTGTCCCCCCTTCCGTTCCTAGCTCGCCCCTCCCCGCACCCAGCAAGGTTGCCTGCATTGCCTGCTGCACCTGGGCTTTGAACGCTGAGAGAGGGAGAGAGAGGAGAGTGGAGAAGAGGAAAGATGAGGAGAGAAGCGGGCAGCCCTTCTCCACCCAGCAAGGCTGCCCTGCACTGCCTGATTGAAGCCCTTCTTCTCTTACCCCTCCTGCCGATGCTTCTGCTTCTGCTGCTGCTGCTGTCACTGGCTCTGCTGCTTCTTTTTCTTTGGCTGCTGCTGCCTCCGCTGCTGCTGCTGTGTCTGGCATGGATGGTGCGGGCCCTACTGTGTCAGCTGCATCTGTTTCCATCGCCTCTCTTCCTCCTCCAATTCCTCCTTCCGCTCCTCGTGCCTCTACTCCTTCCCCTAATTCTCCGCCATCTGCTATCTGAGTGAGCTCTCTACTCTTCTTCCCTTCTCCCCCATCCACATCCATACCATCTCCTCCTCCTGCTCCACCCATACCATCTCCTTCGCCCACTTTATCCCGACCATCTTTGCCCTCCACTCCCCATCCTTCACCAAGCAGCAGCACTTGCTCCTTCGTTACAAGGCACACCTCCTCTCCTCTTCCCACCATCTCCTCCCCTCTCTCCGCCATCTCCCCTTCCTCAGCTACCCACACACCTCCCTGCAAAGCCCTCCCCGCCCCTCCCTTGCCCGCCACAAACTTGACTCGCCACACCCTGGCGGAGGCAGTACCTGTCACAGCTGCATCCGAGCCGTCAGTGGCAGCGCTGTATGCGCCAACAGCAGTGGCTGAAGCTGCTGCTGCAGCTGCTACAGACGGAAGCAAAGCAGCAGCAGCAGCAGAAGCAGCAGCAGCAGCAGCAAGAGCAGAGGCGGGAGTGATAGGATCCAAGAAGAGCAGTCGGCTGAGCCGTTGATACGCACTCCTTGCTTGCAGCACTGCACCTGGCAGCATTGCAGCGTCGGAGGCGAGAGGCAGAGCAGGAGTGATAGCACTCGTGTTGGGAGCAGCAGGAGGAGCAGGGAGAGCAGTTGTTGTGGTGGGGGGTAATGAGAGAGCAGGGAGGGAGGAGAGCAGCAACAGCACGTCCACAGCTGCCCGCACAACCACCAGGGGAACAAGGACAAGCCCAGGAGTGGCAGGAGGGAGTGCAGCAGATGCATCTGTGCCGTCTGTGCGCGCAGCAGCAGCAGCGGGGGCGAAGAGAACCCTCTCCTCACCGTCAGCCCTCCTTCCCTCCCTTATCCGCCCCCATACCCCCGCTCCCATCCCCGTTCCCATATCCTTCCCCATCCCATCCCTCATCTCCTCCCTCATCCCCCCTGAACTCCCTCCCTCCAGAGCCTCTCGCAGCAAATCACAGAGCACACACACCACATGCCATGACCCCACACCCTCGTCTCCCTCCCCTCCTCTCTGCCTCTCACCATCCATCGCGCCTGCCCTCCCCTCCATCTTCTCCTCCTCTCCACCCTCTCTCCTCCCGTCCACCTGCATCCCCTCCCCCGCAGCAGCAACATCACAGGCAGCACCAGCAGAAACAGCAGCATTAACTTCACCCTTATCCTCACTGCCCCCACCATCCCCACCATCCCCACCTCCCCCTTCTTCTCCTCCTTCCACTTCCATTGCCTCTGCTCCATCTCCCACCCCACCCTCCCCATCCCTCTTCTTCCCCGTCTCCTGCCCACCTTCCCTCTCTCCTTCCTCCATCTCTTCCCCCTCGTCCCCCCCATTTCCCCCATCAACCCCATTCCCCCCATCAACCCCATCCTCCCCACGGCTCCCCACAGGCGACCAGGGAGGTCGTTCTAAAGCCTCTTCCCCTTCCTCCTCCTCTTTCCCCCCATCTTCCCCTTTTGTTCCCCCCTTCCCCTCCTCCTCCCCGTTCTCCCCTTCCCCCTCACTCCGCACCTTCTTCCCCTTACCCCCCAACTCCTCCCCCGCCCTCCGCTTTCCCTCTTCGCCTCCTCTTCCTTTTATGCTCCCTTCGCCCATCTCCTCAACATCGCCCTCACTTCCCTCACCCCCAGCATCTGCCATCTCCACATCTTCGTCCTCTCTCCTTCCGCCATCTCTTCCCCCCATCACACCCCCTGCATTCTCTTCCGCCCCTTCTGCCCTTCCCCCTTCTCCACCCTTCTCCCTTGCCCTTCCCCCATCTCCCGAAATGGGGAGGAGGGGCGGGAGGGGTTGGGTGGGCGGAAGGGGGAGGAGTGGGGGGAGGGGGGAGAGCAGCTGGCGCGCCAGGAGGGGGCGGGTGCGGATGAGACGCGCCAAGAGGAGGGGGAGATTGAGCGGGGGAAGGGGGAGGGCTGAGGATCCGAGAGAGTGAGGTGAAGAGACGGGGGGAGGGGTGGAGGCAACTGCCCCGTGGAGACGGGGAGCACGAGCAGCTGGTGGTTGGGTGGTTGGTTGCTCCTCAACCCTTGTGCCTACCCGCTGCTTCGCCCCCTCACCTTCCTTCTCACTTTCCTCCTCACCCTCCTCACCCTCCTTCTCACCCTCCTTCTCACCCTCCTTCTCACCCTCCTTCTCACCCTCCTTCTCACTCTCCTTCCCACTCTCCTTCTCACCCTCCTTCTCACTCTCCTTCTCACCCTCCTTCTCACCCTCCTTCTCACCCTCCTTCTCACCCTCCTTCTCACCCTCCTTCTCACCCTCCTTCTCACCCTCCTTCTCACCCTCCTTCTCACTCTCCTTCTCACCCTCCTTCTCACCCTCCTTCTCACTCTCCTTCTCACGCTCATGCTCTTCGTCCACCTCCTCCCCTCCTTTCTCTTCTCTTCCACCATCCCCTCCCTCCTCCCCTCCTTTCGCACCCCCTCCCTTCTCCTTTCCCTCACTTTCTCCCTTCTCGTTTTCCTCCTCTCCCTTCTCTTTTCTCTCTACTTCCTCTTTTCCCTCCTCTCCCTCCTCTTTTCCCTCCTCTCCCCCCTTCCCTTTCTCCTCCTCTTCTCCCTTCTCGTGCACCTCCTCCTCCCCCATCTTTTCACTCACCCCCACCTTCCGATCCCCTCGCTTCTCCTCCACCTCCCCACTGCCAACACTCGTCGCCTCTCCCTGTTGCTGCCTGCAAGCTTGGTTGCTCTGCTGCTGGCGGTACCAGAAGTGCAGGTAAGATATGTAAGCAACAATCTGGCACAAGGAGCAGCAAGGAAGATGGGCGGGAATTAGTGCAGGGTACAATATGTATGCAAAAAGACCTTCCTATAGACCGGTGGTCAGGTGAAGTCACGAGAAAACACACAGTGGGAAAGCGTGTTCTGCTCGTCACAGCACAGCACAGCACAGCACAGCACACTGCTAGCAGCAGCAGCAGCAGCAGCCTAGCAGCATAACAAAACACCCTCACATCCTTCAAATGAAAGAGGGGATGTGTGTTTCTCACCGTGGGGATGTGTGCTTCTCACCGTGGGGGTGTGAGTTTCTCGCATCACAGCATGGCACACTGCAGGCAGCAGCAGGCGCGCAGCATCCCATGCCATGGGCAGCTGGTTTATCTCCTCCAGCCATCCCACATAAAGCCCACCCCCTGAATTCTTCACTAGTGCTCCTTCTGCTGGTAAGGCTGCAGCAGGTTCCAATTTTGCTGCAACTGCTGCTGGTGCTGCTCCTGGTGCTGCTGCTGCTTCTGCTTCTCCTGCTGATTCCGGGGCCAGCAGCAGCAGCAGGTCAGGGGAGAAGATAGCAGCCAAGCACCGTCTGCTGCTCGCGCGTTTGGACTCAACCCGAGAGGCCAGCTTGCCTGCAAGCAACCCCACGATATCCACCACTGCACCTCCCTTGGTTGATTCACCCCCCCCGGCTCTTCCTCCTGCTGCCTCCTCTGCCTCGGCTCTCTCTCTCCCCCCTTCGTGTATTGCCCCATCGGCCTTTCCTCTTTCCCTCACCTCCCTCGCAACAGCGGCTTGCAGCAACTGTACCGTGCTTCGCGTGTGGGAGGGGGAGAGAGGCGGAGGGGCGGAGTGGGGAAGGGACGCATCCTCCCAGCGCCACTGCTGGTAGAGTATGGCGCACTGAGTGGTGGGGGCCAGATGAGCCACCACTGCCGGGTTGCTCGAGAGGAAGCCGTGCAGCCATGACCAGGAGGCCGCCACTCCACCCTGGTAGGGGTGGCAGGGTGGAGGGAAAGAGAGCGAACCGGCTGTGTGAATGTAGGGGGGAGAGGAAGTGGGTGGTGGGAGGGGAGAGGCGAGAGGGGAGTGGGCCCTCACCTGTGTGTGTATAAGCCCATCCAGAGCAGAGGCACGAAAATCGTGCCTCAAAAGTCACCTCTTATAATTTCTCAAAAGAAAACGTCCCCTCGCTCACCTGTGCGCGTATGAGCCCTTCCAGAGCAGACGCGCCAAAGGCTTGCCTCAGCAGCCGCCCCAGCCCAAACTGCCTGTCCCACTCCCACGCCACCCCCCACACCACACCTCCTCCGGCACATACTGCCCCATCCGCCCTTGCCCTTCCCCCACCCCAGCCCCTCTTTCCCCCCTCGCTCGCTCACCTGTGCGCGTATGAGCCCTTCCAGAGCAGACGCACCAAAGGCTTGCCTCAACAGCCGCCCCAGCCCAAACTGCCTGTCCCACTCCCACACCACCCCCCATACCTCCTCCGGCACATACCGCCCCATCCGCCCTTGCCCCTCCCCCACCCCTGCCCCCATCCCCGCGCCCCCCCCGGCGCCCGCAACCACCCCTGAGCCTTCTTTCCCCTGCCTCTCCCGCCTCCCGCTTCCCCGTTCCCCCGCGCCCTCCCCCTCCCCCTCCCCCTCCTGCAGCAGCAGCTCCTCCCCCATCTCCGCCTCCAGCCATGCAGGCACCTCCGCCAAGCCTCCTGTTGCTGCTGCTGCCCCCGCCCTGTTGCCCCCACCCTCTGCTTCCCCTGCTGCTGCTGCTCCTGATCCCAGACCAGCCAATTCGTGCCATTCTTGCTTGATGGGAGGCGGTGAGGAGGAGGAGAGCAGACGACGCAGGAGGGCTGAGGCCTGGGTGTCCTGCTCGGCTTGCCTCTGCCACGTGGCATGCTGTGATTCGGTGCTGCCAAGGCAGGTGAAGGGAAGGGAGTGGAGGGAATAAATGAGGGAGGTTTGCACTTGTGAGACGCTTGTGAAGTCTCAATACATTTTTGTAGCAATTTTTTCTTTCTTTACTGTCGCTTACACGGTTGGCACATGGACAGTAAGAATGAATGGCTATCACAGCTGCCACATAAACAGTGCCTTGCACGGATGGTGGTGCATGAAGAGTGCTTCTAGCATGCGCTGCACTGTAGGTGACTGGCACAATGGGAGTGGTACCACCAACAGTGCACGCATGCATGAATGAACATGGCCTAGTGATCCACATAAACCCCGCTTACATGGATGGCACATGGTGCATGAAGAGTGCTTCTAGCATGCGCTGCACTGTTGGTCACTGGCACACCAACAGCTCATGCATGCATGGATAAACAGTGCCCTGATGAACCGCTTACACCGATGGCACATGAACAGTGCCCATATGACCCACTTACACGGATGGCACATGAACAGTGCCCATATGACCCACTTACACGGATGGCACATGGTGCATGAAGAGTGCTTCCAGCATGCGCTGCACCGTTGGTGACTGGCACGATGGGAAGCAGCCACCAGCGCCACTGCCGCCACTTGAAGAGGGCGCAGCAGGAGGAGGAGGAGCAGAGGAAGGTTGAGGAGTGGGAGGAGGAGGAGGAGGAGGCGGGGAGGGGGGTGAAGCGGAGAGGGCAGTGATGAGGACGGCGGCACAGCAGGCCTGCCAGAAGCGGCGAGCAGCGAGCAGCTTGGGAGGGGGCGGGTGGAGAGCGAGGAGGGGGCGAGGCAGGACCACTGAGGCGAGCTTGAATATCGCTGCTGATAGCTGGAGGAGAGGTGGGGGAGAAAAGGACGAGGAGGGGCGAGCGAGGTAGATAATGATTAGTACGTTTTTCTGAAAGAGGCTGTTTTGAAAAGGAGAAAAATAAGATATTTTGGAAACGAGGAAAATGCTATGATGAGGGGAAAGAGCAGTTGACGATTGGCAGAATGACAGGTGGTGTGGTGGGACCAAGGTTCAGACATGTCTGAACCTCGACAGGTGGTGGGACCAACGATGGACGGACACAGGGAAAGGCGGCAGGGTTCCAAGAACACCCACCTGAGGGCCAGAAACGACAAGCCTTCCCGCCCAGAGGGAGGGCACTGTAGCAGCTCGCACCAGCAGGTGCAGCAGCATTTGCATGGCCGCGTCCTGACCTGGTCCCGGGGACTGTGGGGGGCGGGGGGGTGGTGAAGGGGGATGAGGGTTGTGTGAGGAGTTGGGTGAGGAAGGAAGTCGGGGGGAGCAAAACACAAGGCGGCAGCAGCACCAGCAGCATGTGCATGGCTTCGTCCTCAACCAGTCCCCCGGACTGGGAGGTTGGGATGTGTGGGAGGGTAATGATAAGGTAAGGGTCAGTCAGCTTTAAGCTCCTTGTCCCTGAATCAACTTGAGCATCAGTCAAGTCAAATTCTGCAGGTGTTCCAAGCAAAATGGCACAAGGTAAAGTCTCCGGCAGCGGCACTGAGCATTCTCATAAAGCCCCTACAGCGGACAGGCGGCACAAGGGAGTCACTCACGGATATCCCCAAGAGGATGACTCGAGCTAGAGTCTCCTCCAGCACTGGCAGCCCCACCCATGTTTCCACTACCACTGGGGGGGGGTGGAAAGCAAGCAGCTGGGGGCACAAACCTATATCCGCCCTTCAGTCAGACTCACAGATATCCCCAGCAGAATGACCCGAGCTAGAGTCTCCTCCAGCACTGGCAGCCCCACCCATGTTTCCACTACCACTGGGGGGGGGTGGAAAGCAAGCAGCTGGGGGCACAAACCTATATCCGCCCTTCAGTCAGACTCACAGATATCCCCAGCAGAATGACCCGAGCTAGAGTCTCCTCCAGCACTGGCAGCCCCACCCATGTCTCCACCACTCTCACTCCTTCTTCCTCCTCCTCCGTTTCCTCCGCAGCCCCCCCACTCGTGCCCCCCTCCTCTCCACCATCCCTTGCCCCTGCACTGCCCTCCTCTCTCTTGGGCGCCTTCCATGAAGTTTCCTGAAGCACGATAGGCAGAGAAAGCAGAGCAACGGGACGTCGATAGCAATGGCAGCAGAATCGAGATGAACGGGATGAGTTGAATCGAAAACAGAGAAGCAGAAACTTGCCACTGGGGCGTCATTAGGAGACACCTGATTGAAGACAAACAACAAGAAGCAGCATATCCTATGCGACGGGACTGATTGTCCCAAGTGTTGAGGCGACCGAGCCAGCTGCTGATGCGACTCTAGGAAAGAGCAATCAAACAGATAAGTACATGCCTCAGCCGCACGGCTTGCACAGATTGTTAATATTGACATCCCGGGATGGGTATTCGGCTTGCACAGATAGCCAATGACATACCGGGATGGGTTCAAAGAAGAGCACACAGCGCAGCAGATAAGCAGATCAGAGATGGACACACCGATTCCCTCTTGAGGCGCCTAAAAAATTGCGGGATAAGAGACGACCTTTGAGGCGCCCCAAAACTCGCACAGATAGTTGATAATGGCATACCGGGATGGGGTCGAAGAAGAGCACACAGCGCAGCAGATCGAAGATAGACACACCGGACCCCTCTGCACCCATTTGACTCGCACCCATCGCCCCTTCCCTTGTGCCCGCCCCCGTCCCTTCTGCCACCTCTGCCTCCTGCTTCACTCCTTGCTCTCGCTGCTGCTGCTGCTGCTTTTGGAGATTCTGAGGAGCAGCAGCAGCAGCAGCGGGTGCAGAGGGCAGGTGCGAGGGGCAGAGGCTGCTGCAGTCTGCTGCCACCACCGTGGCACACCAGGTCACTGCCTCCGTCTGTTGGGGGGGGGGGGGGGAGGGGCAGGGAGGGAGGGGATAGAAAGATGAGAAGGAAGGAATTTGTAAGGAGGTGGAGCAGCAGCAGCAGCGGGTGCAGAGGGCAGGTGCGAGGGGCAGAGGCTGCTGCAGTCTGCCACTGTGGCATGTCACCGAATATAATGGTAAGTACATCATATTCTGGACATACGCTAATTGAGGTGTAGAAGTGCTGTAGCAATTACTATTCAACCTATAGGGGAGGTAGTTGGGTGTTGGGAGAAGCGAAGGGTTGGTAGCATTGGGGGTTGCAGGGCGCTGCGGGTGCAATTCCAGGGACATTGGGAGACAGGAAATCTGGTGAGGGCCAATCCAAGGCCCAGGCGGCTCGGGCCCAACCCATCACGCAGAGAACTGTGCGACTGGGAAGCCAGGCACAAGTAGCCTAGCCTAGCAAAGCAATCTTGTTCTCTCGACTTGTTTGCCTAAAATAGTGGATTTACGTTGCCGTTCTAACGCTACAGCAGCTAGGTGACTAGGCCACTGAGGGCAGCCATTGTGTGGGAGCCAGAATCTCTCATGGTAGTGGCTGAGAACGCAGAAGGGAACAAGGGAACAGGAGTGGGGACAGAGGTGGGGAAAGGCCAGAATAAGAAGGAAGGGAAGAAGGTGAGGACACAAGGCAGGGAAGAGGCAAGGGCAAGAGACGAGTGAGTAAGGAGAGGGGAGTAACTCCGACAGGCACACCGGGTCACTGCCTCGGTCTGTTGGAGGCAGTGAGGGACGGGCAGGGAGGGGAGGGACAGCAAGGGAGGGAATAATGATGGAGGAAGGTGTGCAGAGGCAGGTTCAGCAGGTGCGAGGGGCAGAGGCTGCTGCAGTCTGCTGCTACCACTGTGGCACACCAGGTCACTGCCTCCGTCTGTTGGGGGGGGGGAACAGGGAGGGGGTAGGAGGAGGATTAGGTTCAAAGGGAGGAAATTTAGACTCTTGAACTGACACAAATGCGACCACTGTGGTGCATCACATCACATCACAGCACGTGAGAAGAGGAAGGAAAAGAATACTGTTGACGGGAAGATAACGACGCATGTGCACGCATATGCACACAAACGCATATGCACACAAACGCATATGCACACAAACGCATATGCACACAAACGCATATGCACACAAACGCATATGCACACAAACGCATGCTCACACACATGCACACACAAGCCTGCATACCTGCACACATGCTGTATCAAAGAGAGCCTTGGTCAACCGCTCGCTCTGCTGCTCCCCGTCTTCATCCCCCTGCCCTCCTCCCCTCCGCCTCTCCCTTTTCCCTTCCTCCCCTTCCCCAGCCCTGTACGCGCGCCCTTGTCCATGAGCAAACGCGGATTCACCAGCAGCAGCGGTGGCACCACCAGCAGCAGCAGTGGCACCAGCAGCACCACCAGCAGCAGCGGTGGCACCAGCAGCAGCAGCAGTGGCACCAGCAGCACCACCAGCAGCAGCGGCAGCAGAGAGGTGCAGCAGCAGGAGAGTGCGGACGAGTGATGCGAGGCGGCAGTAGGCCGGCACAAGGAGGCTCTCTGGCAGGGCCGAGGCTGCGAGTGGCAAGGGATGGAAGAGCTGCCTGCACAGGTGGAGGGGCGTTATGAGGCCAGAGAGAGCACGCAGGAGCCTGGGGCAGGGAGAGGGAGGGGGAGGAAGCAGGAGGCAGGAGGCAGGAGGCAGGGGAAAGGGACAGTGAGAAAGAGGGAGGTGAAGTGCTCTGGCAGGTGTGAGGCTGCGAGTGGCAAGGGGTGGAAGAGCTGGCGATACAGGTGGAGGGGCGTTATGAGACCAGAGAGAGCACGGAGGAGCCTGGCGGGTGGGGGCCCACAGAAGGCAGGGAATGGGGTAAGGGGGGAGGAAGGGGAGGGCAGATGGCGGAGGAGAGGGGGATGGGAGGGAGAGAGGAGTGGGGTGGAATGGGAGGGCTGAGGCTGCAAGTGGCAAGGAGTGGAAGAGTTGTCAACACAGGTGGATGGACGAAGCAGCAGCGTGGTTGGGAAAGCAGGCACACGAGTGCCTGGTGAAGCTTGTCTTACTTGGTTGCGAGGGCTGGGAGGTGGGGGTTGAGCGTTGGATCCACTGAGAACTCCTGATGGCGGACAGAGGAGAGGGGACGGGCAGAGGTAAGGGGAGAGACAGGAGAGGGACGTGCGACGGGTGGGGAGGAGAGGGATGGGAGGTGCGGGTTGAGCATTGGTGCAGAGGAAGGAGAAAGGGCAGAGGGGAGGTGAAGAGAAGAAAGTGGGGAAGGGAGAGAGTAGGGAAAGGCAGAGGGTTTGAGCTCTAGACGAGAGGGTGGGAGTTTGAAACGAGAGGGTGGTGAAAGAGGAGAGTAGGAAGGAGGAAGAGAGTTTTGGCCTCACCTGCAGCACTCTGCCGATTTCAACTTCAGGATATACCCTCCATGTCCTCTCCCTCCCCTCCGTCCCCTTTTTCTCCTTTACCTTCTCTTTCCCCTCCCCTTTCTCCCTGCCCTCCACCCCTGCCTTATCTTCCACCCCCACCCCGTCACTCTTTTTTCTTTCCCTCCCCTTCCCTCCCTTCCCGTCCCTGCCCTCGCCACGTCCCTTCCCTTCCCTCCTCTCTTTCCCCGCTCCCGCACCCTCTGTCCCCTCCCCCTCCCCCACAGCCATAGCCCTGACAGCTGCTGCCAGCACACGCATGTGATGAGGCGACTCCTTTCGAATCTCCCATAGCAAAAGGGTCTGGAAAAAAGGGCAGATATAGGTATGAGAGACGGAGTGGAAGGAGCAGCACAAGAAGGTGCATGGACCAATTTCGTCTTCCTTGCTTCATGTCAAGCGTTCTCCTGGGGGACAGGTGAGGTGAGGGCACTCCTGTTCCACAACCCTGCCAAAACGTTCACACGCATTGATGCGTGACACGGCATGGCGTGGTGTGGCATGGCGTGGTGTGGCATGGTGTGGTGTGGCATGGCGTGGTGTGGCATGGCATTGATGGCAGTGATGGCATGGAAGGCACCTTGATGAAAAGGCAGCGTATTCAGGGCAAATGTGGCATGAAATTGGATGGCATGACTTGGCATGGCGAGGTGTGTGTATACTGGCATGTACTGGCATAAGAAGGAGTCACCTTGATGACAAAGGCAGCGTATTCAGGACGAATGTTGACGAGCTGAGCTGCTATCTCCATCGGCAGTGTGCTGCCTCCCTGCTGCGACCCCTTCGCCTGCACACACATGGCACATGCATGGCATGGATGGTACATGAGTTGCGTGTGGGGGGCATGTGATGAGCATGACATGTGCATGTGAGGGTTATCTTATGAGCATGTTGACGATCTGAGCCGCTATCTCCATCGGCAATGTGCTGCCTCCCTGCTGCGACCCCTTTGCCTGTACACACATGGCATGTGAGGGGATGGGGTGCGCATATGAGGTGCGTGTGAGAGGCGTATAAGGTGCGTGTGAGGGGCATATGAGGTGCGTGTGAGAGGCGTATGAGGTGCGTGTGAGAGGCGTATGAGGTGCGTGTGAGAGGCGTATGAGGTGCGTGTGAGGGGAGATGTTGACGAGTTGCGCCGCTATTTCCATACGCTGCACCGCACTCTCATACGTTGCACCACACTCTCATACGCTGCACCGCCCGCTCATACGCTGCACCGCCCGCTCATAAGCTGCACCGCCTGCTCATACGCTGCACCATACGTTGCATGCACGCTCTCACGCGTTGACTCCCCTCACTCACAGTCCCCCTGGGCAGCAGCGTCGACTCCCCTCACTCACAGTCCCCCTGGGCAGCAGCGTCGACTCCCCTCACTCACAGTCCCCCTGGGCAGCAGCGTCGACTCCCCTCACTCACAGTCCCCCTGGGCAGCAGCGTCGACTCCCCTCACTCACAGTCCCCCTGGGCAGCAGCGTCGACTCCCCTCACTCACAGTCCCCCTGGGCAGCAGCGTCGACTCCCCTCACTCACAGTCCCCCTGGGCAGCAGCGTCGACTCCCCTCACTCACAGTCCCCCTGGGCAGCAGCGTCGACTCCCCTCACTCACAGTCCCCCTGGGCAGCAGCGTCGACTCCCCTCACTCACAGTCCCCCTGGGCAGCAGCGTCGACTCCCCTCACTCACAGTCCCCCTGGGCAGCAGCGTTGACTCCCCTCACTCACAGTCCCCCTGGGCAGCGTGTGAGAGCTGTCACTCGCTCCAGCCTTATCCAGATTGCCAGGCCTACTTTCATCAACCGCTCACCTTGATGCTGAGCAGGTGCTCTCAGGTGCGCCACGCAGCAGCGGTGGTGCCGCGCATGAGAGCTATCACTTGCTCCAGCCATACTCTCCTTGCTTTCTACTCACGCGCCCTGTGTGTTGGACTTGACCTTGATGCTCAGCAGGTGCTCAGGAATCCAAGTTCATATTGGGAGTAGCAGCAAACCTAGAGAAATCGGTTAAGCAAAAGGATCAAGACTTGACCTTGATGCTCAGCAGGTGCTCCAGAGAGCGCCAGTCAGCAGTGGTGGTGCCGTGCGTGAGCGCTATCACTCACCTCCTTGGCTACAGGCTTGCACTCGTCACACACTCACCTTGATGCTCAACAGGTGCTCCAGCGTGCGCCAGTCAGCAGCGGTGGTGCCGCGTGTGAGGGCTATCACTCGCTCCAGCAGCAGGCGAGCAGAGCGGGCGTGCACAGTGGAGGAGAGCCAGGGTGGGAGCAGAGAGGCTGCCTGCACTCTCACCAGCGGATACCCCGCCCCCAGGACCAGCAGCCTGGGGTACAAAGAAGGGGGGGAGAGGGTGATAGGGAAGAGAAAAGACGTGTTGTTGAGTGGGGCTGGGTGGCGGGTGAAAGCTATCACTTGCTCCAGCAGCAGGCGAGCGGAGCGGGCGTGCACGGTAGAGGAGAGCCACGGGGGGAGCAGAGAGGCCGCCTGCACTCTCACCGACGGGTATCCCGCCCCCAGCACCAGCAGTCTGGGGTTGAAATGGAAATGGGAGGGGGATGGGAAGCGGAAAATGTGTTGGTGAGCTCTGCTGCTACTGCAGCTGACATTTGCTGAATGCTTGTCTTATTCTCCACGACCACCCATGCCTGCCTCCCCACCTCCTCCCACCGCTTCATATCCAACCCTATTCCATGCCTTTCGTCCACGCAGCTGATCAGGCGCCATGCTACTCCCCCCTCCCACGCACCTAATCAGGTGCCTCGGATTCACCAGGCCGCTGCCGGAGCTGACAATCCGCTGAATGCATGCCTTATTAATCCCCACAACCACCCACACTTGCCTCCCCACCCCCTCCCACCACTTGAGACATCCGACCCTATCCCATGCCTGCCGCCCACGCACCTGATGAGGTGCCTCGGATTCTCTCTGCTGCTGCCGGAGCTGACCATTCGCTGAATGCTGCCCACAAACAGCCGCTCTATCTCAGCCTCGGTTTCCGAACCTCCGAACCGATCCAAGCCGACGCTTCCGAGCCTCTCCGATGACGTGGCAGTGTCTGACGCCTGGAGCAGATTGAAAGAGGGAGATGGAGAGGAGGGAGAGGAGGGGGGGGCATGGGACCCAACTGACAATTCAACTAACAACCCAAATGACGACCCCACTCAGCTTGTCATTTTCGAAAAATCAGTCCTCAGCCCATCTGCCTCTCTCGCTATCCACTCACCCCTTTCTTTGCAGCAGCACCACCGCTCACGCTGCCCCCACCAACGCTGCTGGTGCTGACAGCAGGGGAGCGAGGAGGGCCGCCCCCTCCTGCCCTCCCCTTCACCCCTTTCCCTCCTGATTCCGCTGAATCAGCTGCAGCAGACGCCGCAGCCGAAATCCTCGAAGCAGCAGCACCACCAGGACCAGCAGCAGTGGCAGCACGAGCAGCAGCAGCAGGTGGGGCGGCAGCTGGAGGGCGGAGCAGGGCAGGCGGGGGAGCGACGAGGGAGTGAGGCAGGCAGGCAGAGACGGCAGAGACAAAGTCCCTGCATGTATCCAGGTCCACCCAGTGACGTGGGCCGCAGGCATCGCTGAGATAGGCCTGGGAAAAAGGAAATCGACAGAGGGGAGGGCAGAGGAGGGTCACAGGGAGGATGGAGGTTGAGGGGGAGACGGGAGGAGGGAGGGAGGCAAGCAGGCCAGCGGGGCGACCATGTATGTAAACTGTAAAGCTCACTCAGCAGGGAAGCTTACCTCTAGGAAGGCGACGGGCCAGCGAGGGCGAGCAGCAAAGGCGTGCAGCAGCAGGCGGCATGCAAGCGCCTGCAGCAGCACTGGCGTGGCCTTCCTTGACGCCCTCTCCCCTCCCCCTCCCCCTCCTCCTGCTCCTGCTCGGTCCCCCCCTCCTGCTGCACCTGTGTCGTCTGCATCTGGTGCCATGAGCACTGATAGGAGCGCCTGCATGGAGGAGGAGGAAGGAAGGAGAGAAAGGACGTGGAGGAAGGAAGGGTGATTCTGACTATTGAGTTGAGACGCCGGGAGGATCGTCTGTGTCATCTATAACTGGTGTCATCAGCACTGATATGAGTGCCTGGAGGGGAGTGGAGGAAGGGAGTGGGGGAAGGAAGGGTGAATACGGCTCTTGAGGCACCTTGAAATTCGGCTCTCAAAGTCACCTCTTGAGGCACCTTGAAATTCGGCTCTCAAAAGTCACCTCTTGAGGCACCTTGAAATTCGCCCGAATCATTTACAACTGCTGCCATCAGAATTCATGGGAGGTCCTGGCGGGGGGGGGAGAGGAGGAAGGTAAGAGACATGCGATGGGAGTAAGGTAAGGGTGTGAAAGAAGCAAGACAAAACGTTTGTGTGTGCAGGCAGCAGTTGAAACAGGCAGAGGGTAGGGTAGGACAAAGTGCGTCTTACTGTTACCCCTCACCCACCTCACCTCCCTCTCCCTGTTCGTGTTCCCCTCTCCCTGTTCATGTTCCCCTCTCCCTGTTCGTGTTCCCCTCTCCCTGTTCGTGTTCCCCTCTCCCCTCCTCTTCTCACCTCTCTGGTACGCCGCAGACCAAAGGCTTCGGGAATCTTCTTGGAAACAAATGCGAGCGAGCAGTAGTGGTAGCGGGCCGATGCAAGCGCAGCAGCGGTGGCGGCGGGGGAGGCGTGTGCGAGGGAGAGCGAGGAGGGGCCAGCAGAGACAGCAGCGGCGTGGAAGGCCATGTGGCGATGGCAGAGGGCGATGGTCTGGGCGAGAAGGGCGTCTAATGAGGGCAGGTCCCTGCGTGCGTGAGCTGACCAGACTAGATCCAGGAGGTCAAGTCCTGGGGGTGGCGGGGAGTGGTGGGGACAGGTGGGAAGAGGTGAGAAGGGAAACAGGAGCAGAGGAAGGCCATGTGGCGATGGCAGAGGGCGATGGTCTGGGCTAGAAGCGCGTCTAGAGAAGAGAGATCGTTGCGAGCATGGGCTGACCAGACCAGGTCGAGGAGATCGAGCCCTGGACGGGGATGGGAGGGGGAGGGAAGAGGGAAGGTGAGGTGGAAGGCCATGTGGCGATGGCACAGGTGATGGTCTGGGCGAGCAGGGCGTCGAGAGAAGGCAGGTCGTTTCGAGCGTGGGCTGACCATACCAGGTCGAGCAGGTCGAGTCCTGGGGGGAAGGGAAGAGGGGAGGGGAGATGAGGTGGAAGGCCATGTGGCGATGGCACAGAGCGATGGTCTGGGCGAGCAGCGCGTCGAGAGAAGGCAGGTCGCTGTGAGCGTGGGCCGACCAGACTAGATCGTGCAGGTCCAGCCCTGAGGGGGTGGGGGGCGGTGGGAAGCAGTACAAGGGTGGGGAGGTGGGAAAGTGGGTGTGGGTAAAGGTATGGGTGGGATGAGGGAGCGACTAAGGTGAGAGGGGAATGATGGGCAGAGACAACAGCGGCGTGGAAGGCCATGTGGCGATGGCAGAGGGCGATGGTCTGGGCTAGAAGCGCGTCTAGAGAAGATAGATCGTTTCGAGCCTGGGCTGACCATACCAGGTCGAGCAGGTCGAGTCCTGGGGGGAAGGGAAGAGGGGAGGGGAGATGAGGTGGAAGGCCATGTGGCGATGGCACAGAGAGATGGTCTGGGCGAGAAGGGCATCTAGAGAAGGCAGGTCGCTGCATGTGTGGGCCGACCACACTAGATCGTGCAGGTCCAGCCCTGAGGGGGTGGGGAGTGGTGGGAAGGACATGTGAAGAGGTGGGAAGACGTGGAGAGAGGTGGGAAGATGTGGGGAGAGATGGGGAGAGATGGGAAGAAGCAAGAAGGAAAAGCAGCTGCAGGGTGGAAGGAAGATCGTGAAGGGGAAGTTGAAGAAGCTCCATGTAATGGTGTAACATGACAGAGTGGCGTAACGGGGTGGCTCTTGAGTCAACTCAAAAGTCACCTCGTTAAAGAAGCCCCCCGCAATAATATGGCGTGACTGGGTGGTGTAACAGGGTGGGACACGGAGAGAAGATACAGGCAGACATACCAGCAGTGCACACATCGAGGCGACTTTTGAGTCGACTCAAAAGTCACCTCGTGAGCAGGTGGTGTAACAGGGTGGGACACAGAGAGCAGATACAGGCAGACATATCAGCAGTGCACACATCGACCACCATCTCACCTTCAGCCTTGCTGAAAGGGGGCAGCACGGTGAGCCTTCTCCCCTCTATCGCTCCCGCTAACTCCTCCTCCTCCTCCCTCTCCCTCTCCCCATCCCTCACCCTAAACCAAACCCTGAACCATAAACTCCCTCACCACAATCTCCCACAATCACACCGCATTCTCACCTTCGGCCTTGCTGAAAGGGGGCAGCACGGTGAGCCTTCTCCCCACTATCGCTCCCGCCAACTCCTCCTCCTCCTCCCTCTCCCTCTCCCCATCCCTCACCCTAAACCAAACCCTAAAACCATAAACTCCCTCACCACAATCTCCCACCATCACACCGCCATCTCACCTTCGGCCTTGCTGAATGGGGGCAGCGCGGTGAGCTTCCTCCCCATTATCGCTGCAACCAACTCCTCCTCCCTCTCCCTCCTCCTGCTCCCTCTTCCCCAATGAGTTGTCTCAAACCTGAACTCACCTTCGGCCTTGCTGAATGGGGGCAGCGCGGTGAGCTTCCTCCCCGCTATCGCTCCCGCCAGCTCCTCCTCCTCCTCCCTCTCCCTCTTCCCCTTCTCCTCCCCTGCTTCCTCCCTGCTCCTCCCTTCCTCCCTGCCACTGCTCTCCTCTCTCTTCACTGCCCCCGCCTCCTTGCCCATAGTAGCAGCAGGAAGGGGGGCAGGAGCAGCGGCAGCAGCAGGAGCCGCAGGTGCAGTAGTTGCAGCACCACCAGGAGCAGCAGCAGCAGGCGCAGGAGCAGGAGCAGCGGCAGCAGGCGCAGGAGCAGGAGCAGCAGCAGGTATAGGTGGCGAAGCAGCAAGCGCAGGGGCAGGGGCAGCAGCAGCCAGGGCAGAATCAGCTGCAGAGACAGCAGCAGACGCCACAGCAACGTGGGCACCTACACTGCCCTCCGGCCCCCTTTCAGTTACTGCTCCATCTGCACCCCTCCCAACCGCTTCTCCTTCCTCCACACTCCCTCCCGCCCCTTCCACACTCCCTTCACCCCCCACCTCCTCTACCTTCACTCTTTTTGCACCCCTCTGCACCACACCCACACCACCCACACCCCCCACCACTCCTCCCACTCCTGCTCCTGGCACACCACCCACACCACCGGTTACCCCTGCCTCTCCCTCTCCTCGCACTCCCGTCTTCCCACCATCAGTATCAGTCCCCTTTCCAGCAACATCCCTACCACCTGCCTCCCTACCACCGCCAGAACCAGCTTCCCCTGGCACTGTTGCCAATCGCCCCTCCTTCCTCCTCCTCTTCCCCTTCTCCTTCCCCTCTCTCCCCTCCCTACCCCCCGTTTCCCCCTCTCCTGCGCCTCTCTTCGACCTCTTCCCTCCCCCAACCTCCGCACTTGCAACTGCGTCTCCCTCCTCCCCTTCTGTCCCTCCCTGCTTTCCCCCTTCTGCACTCCCCTGCCTGTCTCTCCCTGCCACAAGCACCGCCCCTCTGATTTCCCCTGCGTCCCCCTCTGCACCTCCCTGCTTTTCCCCTTCCGTGTCCCCCTGCTTGTCTCCCTTCATGCCTACATCTGCTGCCCCCTGTGAAAACCCCCCCTGTAGCCCCACATTAACCCCTGCCTCTGCATTATCTGTGGATTCCGCTCCCGAGGCAGGAGGAGGGGGAGGAGAGGCAGACGAGCGGCCACCAGATGTGGTCTTCCCGGCAACTGAAGCAGCGGCGGCGGCAGCAGCGGGAATCGCAGCCATCTCAGCACCATCACCACCACCAGCGGCACCAGTACCACCATCAGCACCAGCAGTACCAGCAGCATCGGCAGCAGCACCATCAGAATCAGCATCAGCATCACCACCACCATCAGCATCAGCATCACCACCACCATCATCACCAGCAGCGCCAGCAGCCATTCCTTCCAGTGCCTCTGCCAGTCCCAGCAGCCCCACCACCCCCATCTCCTCTTCCTCCTCCGCCCCTCCCTCCTCTCCTCCACCCCTTTTTGCCTCCTGCCCTTCCACTCTCATCACCTCGCCTGATTCACCCACCTCCTTCCTCCCCTCCTCACCTGCCCTAACTTCCCAGTCCCCTCCTTCATTTCCACCAGGTACCCCCACACTCTCCACCTTCTCACTCTCCATCCCCGCACTCTCCGACCCCACACTCCTCGCCACCCCCCCCACACTCCCTTCCTCCCCGCCCTCCTCCCCATCCAAAGCCATATTCATATCCACCATAAACCCCTTCCTTCGTCCATCATCTCCCCTTCCCTGCCCACCCGCCATCCCTCTCCCGCCCCCCTCTTCCAACCCCGCCTGCCCCTCTTCCTGCGCCATCTCGCCTTCCTCCTGCCCCACCTCCCCCTCCTCCTGAGTCATATTGAGATCGTGCAGGAAATCCCTCCTAGGATTACTTGATTCCTTCCCCACGCCCTTCCCCACGCCCTTCCCCACGCCCTTCCGCTCTGCCCCACCCTCGTCTTCCACCTTCCCTCCTCCTCCTTCTCCCACCATTCTCTCGCCCCCACCACTCAGAGCAGCACCGCTCGCATCAGTGACCGTGCTGCGGTCCTGGCCTGAGTCAGCACCGCCTCGCGCTGAGTCAGCACCACCTCTGGCTGAGTAAGCACCGCCATCTGCACTTTCACGTTCAGTTTTTGCTGCTCTTTTATCCTCCGCTTCACCCCTTGTTTTAGATTCGAACTGACCTTGACCTTCAAATTCGCCTTCGTTTCCACCTTGAGCATCAGCTTCGTCCTCGTCTAATGGCGCATTTAGGTCCAACTCAAACCCGAAACCACCACCACCGCCACCACCACCACCGCCAGCAGCAGCAGCTGCTGCTGCACCGCCGCTGCTGCCGCCACCAGCACCAGCACCAGCACCAGCACCAGCACCAGCACCAGCACCAGCACCAGCACCAGCACCATCACCAGCACCAGCACCAGCACCAGCACCAGCACCAGCACCAGCACCAGCACCAGCACCATCACCAGCACCATCAACAGCACCAGCACCAGCACCAGCACCATCACCCGCCACGCCTGCTGCTGACACCCCACCGGCAGCAGCAGCAACAGGTGCAGCAGGGGCAGCAGGTGGAGCAAGGGTGGCAGGGGCAGAAAGGGCGGCAGACACGGGCGGCACAGCATGCAGTGCGGGTGGCATGGAGAGCAGATGGGGCGGGCCTGTGCGCACGTGGTGGGCATGTGAGTGAGCCGCAGCTGAGTGACTCGTGGTATGGTGCGGTGGAGGCACGTGGGGCGTGGTAAGGAGCAGTGGAGGCACGTGGAGCGTGGTATGGGGTGGTGGAACAAACTGGGGGGCCATGGGATTGTGGCGCAGTCATAGGCACGCCTGGGCCCATTGGAACGCTGTACTGTGGTGCTCCAACCATGGGCGCTGCTGCTGCTGCTGCTGCTGTTGCTGCTGCTGCCATAGCATTGCTATAGTGAGGGCCAGTTCCCAAGGGGGGAACGTTATACTGAGGCGGCAGCACCAGCCCCATGGGACCTCTCACCCCTCCCCCCATCCCAGCCGCGAACCCAGGAGATGTTTGAGGGACAGCAGCAGCAGGACCGGCTGTAGCAGCAGGGCCTGTGGCGGCAGCTGCAGCAGCAGTTGCATCCGCACTGGCAGCAGCGGTGGCAGCGAGGGAGGTGGGCGAGGAGAGGGAGGTGGCGTCGTCTGGACAGGAGTTTAGATCCAGCCCTGCAAACGCTGCTGCTGGCTTGCTCGCAGCTGCTGCTGGTGGTGGTGCTGCTGCTGGTGCAGTAGAGGGCATGCAGAGAAGACCAGTTGTAGCAGCAGAGGTAGGAGCAGCTACGACCGGTGCTACAGTACTCGCTACAGCACTGTGCGTTACAGTGCCAGCTGCTACAGTGCTCGGAAAAGGAAGAGGAACCAATCCTTGGCCTAGCAGAGGTATCGCCATGGACTGTCCTGCTGACGTGGACTGCCCTGATTGGCCTACCACAGGGGCATAATGCGGCCGATTCATGGGCTGGCTTGGCAGCTGGTTCGGCGCTTGGCTCGGCACCAGCGTTCCCGCTTGCTGAAAGGCGGGGGGGAAGCCAGAATGCATGGGGAAGGGGGAAGGCGCGGAGCTAAGGGAAGCGGAGGCAGGGGGGAGAGCAAGGGGGAAGGGGGGCTGTGGGGAGCGGATTAGGTTAGCAGATAGCTGGGGAGCAGTGGAGGAGAGGTGGGATAGCAGTTGGCCGCCCAGCATGGGGATAGGCCTCATACCAGACACACTGTGGCCCACCATGCCTACAGTACCCTGGCCGCCCATTGCTACAGTGGCCTGGCCGCCCATTGCTACAGTGCTTCCTTGTCCTGGTGTGCCGGCCCATAAGGTCCCGGGCTGCTGCTGCTGCTGCTGCTGCTGCTGCTGCTGCTGCTGCTGCTGCTGCTGCTGCTGCTGCTGCTGCTGCTGCTGTTGCTGCTGCTGCGATGGCTGTTGCTGTGTTGGTTGCTGTTGGTACGGTGCGTGTAGAAACTGCTGCGGCTGCGCCTGATACTGCACACCCTGCTGTTGCTGCTGGTACTGGCTTGGTTGTGGGAAAAACTGCGGCTGCTGCTGCTGCTGGTGCGACTGCTGCGGCGGCGGCTGCGGCTGCTGCTGGTACTGTAATGATCCTCCCTGATATTGCGCCTGAAATTGCGGCGGCTGCTGTTGAAATAGCTGCTGACCTGCTTGTATCTGCTGCGGCTGCTGTTGCTGTGACTGCACTAGTACCGAAGCGGAAGCGGAAACAGGGAGAGCGGAACCCGCGGAAGCGGATTGCGCGCCATAAGTGGGCGGAAAGGTCGCGGGGATGGACAGTAGCGAGGTGGCTGTTGATGCGGGATACGCGGACGGTCGAGCGGAATACGGCGCAACGGCGGACGGGGGAGGCTGCGCGGGGAACGGCGCCTGCGCGAGCGCAGTTTGCGTGGATGGCGCATTGGCCATGATAGGCTGCGCGGAACTGGCTGGCGGAGCGGCGGACTGCGGAAGCTGATGCGCGGAAAATGCTCCCCCCCGATCTTCCTCCGCCGCTTCCGGCGCGGGAAGATTCATGTCTTCTAGGAAAGCGAGCGGCCTACCGCCTCCGCTGCTTCCCCCGCTCGACGCCATGTTGCAATCGAAACTGCTTAAACCGCGTCCAGATCAGTGCATTGGCAAAACGAAAACTGTACGATGGAATACGGTACGACTATTCTTACTGGCGTCGACGCGTAACGAGCGTACCAGTTTCGCGCAGGCACTAGTCATTGCCGGACGTATGGGGAAAAAGAGTCACGGAGAAATTCTCTCTGGCGAGTCACGGTTTCTCGGCCCCGCCTAACCAGACACCCAACCACTGAACTGACAAAAAGTGCTCCCTCGAGATTGGGTTGGTGATGTGACATTCCAGGAGGGGTAAACTGGATATAGGTACAGTAAAACTCTATCTTCGATATATGTCTGATTAATAAATGTTTGAGATCATTTACATTGAACTTACAAGTCCTCCTCTGCTACAGACAATCAAAAACCGAAAAATATATAATTGCCCAATGCACTAAACTAAATATCTAGTTGACCGCCAGATTCCACTCAACTTGCCCAAACCACCTGAATCCCAATAAATGATAATTTTTAAACACACGAAGTGTTTTTTTAAAATGAAATTTTTTAAAGTGTGTAACACTTTCTAAAAATATGTAGTATTAAAGCGCAGCTGACTGCATCGAAGCAAGGCAACTGCGAATGCCTATTCCCGACTACATAATAAGGGCTAGAGGCCATTTGGCCTCCACCGACGTCTTCATTTTCGGAACATGAATTTTTTTGAAAGTGTGTAACACTTTCTAAAAATATGTATTATGAAAGCGCAGCTGACTGCATCGAAGCAAGGCAACTGCGAATGCCTATTCCCGACTACATAATGAGGGCTGGAGGCCATTTGGCCTCCATCCACGTCTTCATTTTCGGAACTTGACAGTTCTGCTTCCCCCCCACCCACCCCTAGTTGATACTTATGTATTCAGTTGGACGAGAATGTTGTAATTACCCAATTTAAATGAAGCACGTTGCCTTGCAAGAACAAGAAAGCAAGCTTTCTTAATTTACGTATTTCGAAAGCGCAGCTGCCTGTAACGCAGATTTGGCATCGTCGAAGCGCGCTAAACGCCCTTCTCCAACTACAAATCGTGGGTTGGAGCCCATTTCCCTCCACCCACGTCTCTCATTTTCCAACGGCTCATGCAACTCTCCCACCCCCCACCCCGACACCGAGGACATCCGTGACGCCGCTGGAACAGGACAGATAGTTAGTCCTATGATAGGTAGCACGCACGCATAATGCGGGATACGGTAGCTAGTACAATGCTATGGTAGGTAGTATCAGGTCATGTACTAGCATCTATATTGTCTAGCTCTAGGTGCATGCTGTAATTTGCCAGTTGAAATGAGAACGATGCCAAATGACCAGTATAAGAAGGCAAGCTTTCTAAATTGAACATTCTTTCTTCGAGTGAGCCCGCATGTAAATATCCATCTGTAACCAACCAACCTGCATCCATGAAGCAGCTGAGGTAGCTACTAGCATATCATAAAGCCAAGCATATGCCGTGCTATGTTGGAAGACCGAGAGTACCTACATCATGCATGGTATGGCGGGGCACATAATGGCATGTGGTGGTGAGCTGAGCACTTCCAGGCACACACTAGTGGGGCCACATCACGGCATGCTATTCAGGTCAAAGTCCCATTCAGAGCGCTTCTCTTGCCTTCTGCTGGACCTCATTCCTGACCAAACACTGCTCTGCTGCCTCTCCCCTTGGGAAACCGTCAAAGGCATACCTCCTTTTCCTCCCATTCCCCCCATCCCACCCACACCTCCCATACCCCAGCTTGCCATGCCCCTCCCGTTACCCGACAACGCCCCCTGCCCTGCCTGCTGCTGCCCTCCTTTCTCTCCCAGCAACCCTTGTCCCCTTGCCCCCCCAGCCCCCCCAGCCCCCCCTGCTCCCCCTGCTCCCCCTGTTCCCCCACTCCCCCCCTGCCTGCGGTGGAAGCTATAGTCCCCATAGCTGCTGCCATAGATCCTGTCTGACGCCCACATGAACGCCTGCCACGCATCAAACCCCAACGCATCCAACCCCAACGAGTCCAGGCTCAGGCCCAAGCCAGTTCCCCCAGGAACACCCTTCTTGCTCTCCTGAGTCATGCCTTCTCTCTCTCCTCCCACCACACTGTTGTGCGCATCCCACTGCCCTGGCTTCATACCACCACTCGCACTCACAGGCGCCGCCCTGCTAGGCGCCGCCCTGCTCTCCCCTCCTGCTCCTGCTCTCCCCACGACAGGCACCACACGGTCTGCCCTGTCCGGCCGCCCCACCCTATCCGCCCGGTAAGGGGGGTCCGCCCTGGTAGCAGCAGCAGCGGCCACAGCAACGCGTTTGCGCGGCCACTCGCAGAAATTCTCAAGGAAGACCGCGTTGAGGTTCAGATCGTCGTCTCCGCTCACGCCCTCCTCCCATCTTGACGCATTTGCACTGATATCTGCGACGCCGGCTGGTGCTGCTGCTGCTGCTGCTGCTGCTGCAGCTGCTACTGCTGGTGCTGTTGGTGTTGCTGTTGCAAGTGGGTCGAAGAACTTACCTTCTCCGGCGGTACTGCCAGCGGCAGCTGGGGGAATAACAGCAGGCGGCACTGCAGCAGCAACAGTAGAACGAGCAGATGCCGCAGCCACATGGCGTTTGAGATCTAATCGGACGGCTTTTAGCCTCCTTGCCGCATCAGCATGAGCAGCAGAATCGGGCAGCACAGATGGGAAATATTCGTCTGGCACGGGGGAAGCAGAAGCTACGTCGTGAAACCCGCCCACGCTGCGAGCAGCGGAAGCAGCAGGAGCACCATCCCCATAAGTAGAGCCTAGGGGCGAAGCACTAGCGACAAAGGCCTCGTTCCAAGCTTTCATATCTGAGCTTGCACCTGCGGCTGCACCAAGAGTCGCCGCTAAACTTTCCTCCTCCTCCAGCATTCCAGCTCCATCAACCCGTGGTACACTAGTACGCGCGCTACCCCTGCCAAGTCCATTAACACCTGGCACAGAACTCACGGCGCTATCCCCGCCAGGGACTGTCTTGGTGTACGCGGGCGTTCTGCAAGCCGGGCAGTTGCCGTTGCAACACTCGTACACGCGCATACCCCTACTGCCGATGCTGCTGCCAATGATGCGCACACCGCTCCTAGAATTATGTACATTGGAATGTTCGGCGGTAGCAGCAGCACCGGCACCAGCAGCAGCAGCAGCAGTGGCGCCATTTACAGAATGAAAAGCATCCGCGTCATAAACAGCTGCGGCAGAATCGCTATGGTCGTACGCACTAACATCAACAGCCACTCGTGGCCGATCGTCAATATCACCCACGGTTCGTCCAATGGACTCAGCAACAGCCGACACATAAGCACCCGAATTGATGCTTGGTTTCGAAGCATTTTCTGTGGCTGCTACATTCGAGCTGTTCGGTCTACTTTCGCGGTCCCCACCTGACGCATATCCGTATCCCAGCTCTTCGTCGCTCACCTCCTCCCACCGCTCAAACCGTCCACTCCGCCTACCAACTCCCTCGCCTGTCGTGTACGGCTTGCCCTCGTGCCACGATGCGTTATCTCTGTACGCGCTATAATATGCTTCGACAGCGGCAACTCTACCAGCGACAGGTTGAACGTCAGAAAAGGGGGGCTGGCGGCGGCCCTGGGGTGGCTGAGTAGGGGGAGGGGGAGGAGGGGCGGAGGTGAATGGGGGAGCGCGCGGGTGCGGGGGGAAGGGCGCGGAGTGCGGCTGGCGCGGAGCGTTGGCAGCGGAGATGAGGGTCATGGCGCCGAGTGCGGGGAGGAGAGAGAGGAGCGCGATGGAGCCCAGTCGCCACGTGAACTGGTGAGGGATGGTCGGAGAGAGAAGAGAATAGGGAAGGATGAAGATGTGAGGCCTTAGACACAGTCCGAATAAAGACGGCGAGAAACTGAAAGAAAATCTTGATGAGGGAGAGAGGGGGACGGAGACAAAACAATCAATGGGGGGGGGGGGGGTGTTTCTTTCTCTGACACCCGAAGATGTCACAAACGACAATAAGAACGAGCGGCAGCAGCGCTCCGTGGAATAGGAAGGGGAAAAGGTTGAAAGAAAAATATCACCTCGAAGACTCCGCGCAGCAGCCACACTCCTGATAACAGCAGCGCGCCGTCCACTACGGCCTTAATCTGACGACGAACAGAGGAAATGAGGGGGGAGGGGGTGAAGACGGGTTCAGTGTTTGAACTGCCTTGTCCACTCAGCACCGCAATATGACACACGAAGCACCGCGGAAAGAGGTACGAAGCACCCGAAATGACTCACCAGTGTCGTTTGGGAAGTCGACGGTAGCGCGGCGACGATGGTGGCGCTGAGCGACGCTGCCGCTCGGCGGAAAAAGCGCACGACGCGAAAGATCGCGAGCAGCACGAGATCCACGAAACCTCCTTCGGAACCGGGCGAAATGTTACCAGCAGAATATTTCCCAGACAACGGCTCAAAGAACGACCAAGCACCGACGCCGCCGCCGCCGGCGCCGCTTCCGCTCTTCACAGCTATCCATTCCCGCACGCGGCCCGCGGCTCGCTTCCACTCCTCGCCGCCCTCGTTAGGCCCCTCGAGTACCACCTCCGGCTCAAATGCACGTGCGGTCTCGGAGTATCGCCGCTGCTGCTGTTGCTGCTGCGCTTGCTGCGGCTGCCCTTCCCGGTATGGCGGAACCTGCTGCGCCTCGTACCGTTCCCCTTGTTTCCGCGTTTCTTGCGCCTGGCTCCGCTCCCGGTGCTTCCGGCGCAGCTCCTCCGCGACCCGGAACCGCACACTGCCGGTCCTCCGCGCCCCGCTTCCCCTACTTCCCGCGCTACTCCGCGCGCTCCGCCTCACCGTCATGTCCTCCAGATTATCCAGCTCATCCCAGCCGTTGGCGACGGACCGAACAGATCCCGGTGACGTGGCAGGTCTTTTCATCTCGACGACGGATTCGTGAAAAGGCGCGGCGTCGGTAGCTGGAGAGACCACCGTTCGGCCTTCTTCGATAATAGACCGGTCCTTGCCCGCATGAGCATGGTTTCCTCCTCGTCCGGTCGAGTGCGAATGCCGGGAGGACGCCGGTAGCGTGTGCTTGGAGGATGTTGACGGCACTGACGGATTCAGTCTGCCACGGTAACGCTGGGTGAACGCCGGTCTGAGTGAAAATAAGCCGGTGTGAAAGCACGGCGAGACGGGACGCGGAAGCGGGCTCCGAAGCGACGGTTTGAGAGAACGGTCTGAAAATGAGGTGACTGGGAAGTGGTTTGGTGCGTCGGCTTGGTTGGGAGACGCGACGGCGAGAGAGGAGAGCGAGCATGAAGCAGAGGAAGACATGGCTGCGTCCTGCTCCGTTCACTGCGCTTCAGCTGGAAGTGTGCTTTTGCTAAGGACCTGTCCAGTCTCCAAATACAACGTCGTAATATTCGCTGGGCTATCAGTACATAAGCCAGAACACGGGAGAATGAGCAGTTCACGAGTTCGAAAGTGAGATGCCGTTGCTGACGTAGAAAGAAAGAGAAAGAATGTTGAGAGCGACACGCTGGGCCTGGCGAGTTGTTGAAGCAGCCACAAATGAATGACACGAAATGGATTGGGAGGTCAGTCTGGATAATCCCAAGGTGGCGGCGAGTTTGAATCTGCCACCAGTCACACAGACAGCCTGGGCAACCATGCATGGATGAGAGGGCACACTTGAACAGCTCAGATCTCATCGAGCGGGTGGGATGGGAGGGAGTGAGATGAATCTGAATGTTGTGGTCCCACGAAGTTCTTGGTGATGCTCATACGAAACGCCGCTTCGGGTCGTTTCGTTTCGTTTGACGCCTGAGATCGGTTCGCTTTTGCTGACATTTCCCCGCCAGAAATCCCAAGGCACGCTTCATTTGCAGAAATTCCAGTTCTTGGGAGCATTTTTTGTGGCAAGATCTTTGTGGAAGGCAGGCCTTGATAGTTACGATTTGATTGGGCAGGCAGCGCATTCGGCGTGGAATTGTGTGAACGCAGCCAATCCAAAAGGCCCAGTTTCTGCTTGTCGCGGTCCGCACACCATCCAACGAGGGAATAACCAATAGTGGGCGTCCGTCTCTCCATCATCCCTACATCAGCCGCCAGTCACGCGCCGTAGCCAGCAGGAAGATGGCTCGCTCCGCGTAGACAAACAACCAGAGCGCGCCAAGCTTGGAGAGTTTCGCTCTTGGTGTCTTCAGCTTCGAGGTGGCATTTCACCTTTGACATTACTATAATATGAAACAAGAGGTAGAATAGAGATGAAGTGAAGTGACTCCAGCAACAGCTGGCAAATGACATTCCTGGGCAGCTTAAATTATAGTCTGATGATCTGCCAACACATAAACACACATTTTTTGTCATGCCTGAGTATGGTAATATGCTCAATCTGGGCTGCTCTGTTCAGACTACCCCATACTGAGGCACTGATTTGTTGCAAAATGTAGCAGACTCCAACTGAAACGGCACCTAGTTACAGAGATCTGGCCCTTCAATGACAATAGTGACACTCTAGGTGTTGAAAGTAAAGGGAAGAGAAGGTGTGTGTTGACTATCGAGAGTGTTGGGTACAAGTAAGAAACCCTATACCCTACATTGGCTACCCCATTATAGCCTACGTATCATTATTACATAAACATACAGTTTGACATACCCCCATAGGCAAAGCAGAGGAGAACAAGGGGTCACAAGACCTGTCAAGAAAAACAAAGCAAGCTCAAGGTGGATCACAACGTCACCACACACACCGAGCACAAGCAGAGGGCCACAAGGCTGTCAGAATGTGATGTTTGTCTAGCCTGCAGTGGGGTGCTCTATAGCGAGTACAACCCGAATTAGGGTTTGCTATATGTACTCAACTGCTTGCTAGTGAAAAAAGCCTCTCTTTCCTATTTCTAGCTTCTCCCTGCTATTTCCATGGTCTCCTATTTCGGCCTGTGGGTGGTCCTATTCGATGCTTCCGCTGCTGTCCTACCTATTGCACGCCTGGGGCGTGCAAAGTTTCATGCCTGCCGCGCGCTCAGGGCGCGCGGCGTTTTTTATTCCCGCCGCGCGCCACCCTATCGACCCGCGCGTCGCCCCCTGTCGCCCGTCGCTGAGCCCCCGGGGACCCGCGCGTCGCCCCCCGTCGCCCGACGCGGCCCGCGCGACCTGCGTAAGGCCCGCGCGCGCGGTCTGTACAGCCTGCGCGCGGCCCATACGGCCTGCGCTAGGCCCGCGCGCGGTTCGTTCTGCCTGCGCCAGGCCCGTGCGCGGCCCGTACGGTCTGCCCCAGTGCCGCACGCCGTCCCCCGAGCTTCTGACCGCGCCCCACCCCCGCTGCTGCCCGCGCTCCTGTGTTAGGGTCTAGGGGTGGAGAGTATGGGGGTGCCGGGTGTGTGAGCCGTCCCCTGCTCCTCCTCCTCCTCCGTCTCCCACTGCTGCAGCTGCCGCTGAGGGGGGTGGATGTGTTGGAGCCGTCGGAGTGGTACGAGGGGGGTGGCGTGTGAGCGGTGCTAGAGGTTCAACAAGGGGTGTGTGAAAGGGGTGTGGGACAGTTGGGGGAGGTTGACCGGAGATTGCCGTTGTGACGTCTGTAGCGCTAGTAGTCCGGGGGTTGAGTACTTCGGTAGCCCAGCGAGCCTGCTGCTGCCAGTCGCCCGTGGGTTTGTTGCTCCTGCTGCTGCTTAGCGCGGAGCCAGTTACTCCTGTAGTCCGGAGGTTGAGTGCTCCGGTAGCCACCGTGCGCGCCGTTCCTGTTGCCCGTGTGTATGTGGCTTCACCCGTCGCCTTCTATTTTCACTCCACTCACAGTTTCTCCTCCTCCTCACTTGCCCTCTGTGATTGCCTCTAGCTTTGCTTATCATTGTGAACTATCGCTCTATGACTGCTTGCTGTGCTGATTATACCCCACTCTGACTATGGGGGTGTGTCAGAATGTGATGTTTGTCTAGCCTGCAGTGGGGTACTCTATAGAGAGTACAGCCCGAATTAAGGTTTGCTATATGTACTCAACTGCCTGCTAGTAAAAAGCCTCTCTTTCCTGTTTATAGATTCTGCCTGCTATTCCGACAAAGGCCAGTTCACATGCAGAGTAATATATGCAACAACTGCAGTACAGTGATTGCTACCTAGCAAGAGTAAACATGCAGATATAAATATGTAGATCACAATACAAGCAAAGTCTACAGCAAGTGAGGAAACGTAGGCACAAGGCATAACAAAGTACAAAAGCACTGATGATCACCAGACAGAATTGCCTTAGTGAATATATTAGCAGTGTTGGCCCGAGTGGCCACGTGAGCAAGACGAAGCTGACCACGCTGCTGCAACTCTCGAGCCAGGAAGTAACGCAGAGCGATGTGCTTCGTACTATGCTCCAGTCTGCGCTCCTGACACAAGGCAATGGCGGCCTTGTTGTCTACGTACAGAACAGGAGGAGAACGAGGCCACTCTCCCAAGTCAGTCATCAAGTAGGTGAGCCAGCGTTACTCCTGTGCAGCCATGGCTGTGGCGTAGATCTCAGCCTCACAACTGGAGTTGAGAACAGAAGACGAGCGGGTAGACCGCCAAGAAACAGAGCCGGAGCCAAGGCTGAAGGAGTAACCCTGTGATGACCGCTGCGTAGCCAATTCGTCAACCCAAGACGCGTCAGAGTGTCCAGTGAGGACAACGTCACCCCGTCCTCCGAGCACAAGCCCCATGCCCGATGTACTGCACAAGTAGCGCACTACCCTCTTAGCAACATCCATCTGCACCTTTCAATGCCTACCAGGAGCCATGTAACGAGTCAGAAGGCCAAGAGGGTACGCAAGGTCAGGTCGAGTGCAGGTCATCAGGTACATGAGGCAGCCCACTAGCTTTGGGTACGAACCACTCGGCTCTACGGCCTCGTCCGAAGGTGGAGCTGAGAGCGAGTGACCTGCCGAAGGTGAAGCCGAAGCGCTGAAGGACCTGCTGCACAATGCGTGACTAAGTCAGTGTGATGGTGCGCCGTGGTCTGTCCCAGGTGATCTGCAAGCCAAGGTAACTGCGTAGCTCACCTAGGTCTGTGCACGTGTGTCTCTTCTGCAGCTCCGACTTCACCAGGGCGAGAGCCTCAGTGTCAGCAGTGGCAAATACCAAGTCGTCGACGTACACGAGGATGTAGAACGGCGGCAACGAAGTGTCGGTGCGGAGAAACAGCGACGGGTCAGCAGTGGAAGGGACGAACCCAAGAGCCCCTAGCGTCATCCTTTGTGTGTCGTGCCACTCACGAGGCGGTTGGCGGAGACCGTAGACCGGCCGACGGAGGCTCCACTGGGTACCAAGAGGGAACAACCCAGTGAAGCCAGGTGGGCGGCGCAACCAGATCTCCTCATGCAGAGTGCCCCGTAAGAACGCTGAGCTGAAGTCGAGAGAGTGAAGCTCGTAGTCACGCTGAGCTGCGATGTCCAGCAGCACCCGAAGAGTGGTCATCTTCGGGGTGGGGGAGAAGGTATGGAAGAAGTCAACTCACTGTCGCTGACTGAAGCCTCGTGCAACGTAACGAGCCTCGAAGACAGGCGGAGAACCCGGCGGCCGCTTCACCCTGAAAATCCACATGCCATCGAGGATGTTCGCCCCAGGAGGGGGAACCTCATCGACGTAAGTGCCTATGGACTTCCAAGATGCCATCTCTGCGTCCATAGCTGTCTGCCACTGAGAGGAGTACTCATCCGCGATCGTCTTAGCATAAGAGCACGGCGTCGCGATGTCTGGAGCATCTGGGTCTCCGTCAGGGGCAAGCAGCATGGCCACGAGATGTGGTACAGCAGCCGGAAGACACTCAAAGTCCTCCTGCTTGTCCTCAAGGACGTCCGTGCCAAGAGCACACTCATCCCCGACGGACGGAGGACACACAGACTCAGACTCAGCAACAAGACTAGCAACAAAGTCTAGACAACATGCAGCAGGAAAGTCAACAAGCTTAACGA